GATCAGAGAGAATGTTGAACATTCAGGATTTGCGTGACGTATGCATAATAACACATTAAGCATCTCAAAATTCATTATATGCAAAATTTCAATTAGCGTATGAAATATTCGCTCGAGGGAAACCGGAAAATAGGTTCGAATTCCATCAGAAAATGTAGCTAAAAAATGATACTAACTTGCCAATGACAACCATAAAGTTGGTTTTGCCCTTAGACATTATCTAATATCTACAACGTGAAATATATATACACACATATATGTATATGTATATATATAATGGTCCCTATGTTGTAGTAATTAAAGAATTGACCATGATATTCTTAGAATTTTCACCGTCGTCATCATTTCTCAATTTATTGCCTCATAAATGGCTCTGTAACACAACATTTATTTATTTTTTGGGCATTCAAAGTATAAAATTTACGTTTGACATTATGGCAGTGGACCACAACAAGAGGGTAAGGTGCAGTTTCATGAAAATGGTATCAATAAATCAAAATACTCCAACGTTAACATTCCTTGTTTTTTACTCTTTCCATTCTAAAACTGCCTTTTCTGGTCTTTTTCTTGTCATCTCGTACACGAGAATATTTTTTAATTTATTTATTCATTTTCTCGCAAAAATCGAAGAACTCTCATTAAATGTTCAGAAAAAATGTCATTATCCCAAGGGTTAAATTCCCCATTTATTCTGATTAAATAATATTTTTTTTTTGGATTTTGTGACGTATATATATCGTATCTATCCAAACACGATGTTTTGTTTGTCGATAATGATATACAAGACTTTCAAACTCAATCCCTCTAAAAATTTTATTTATTTATTTTTTTACTGTCGGAAAATTTTTGGTGCACCATCAGACACGAATAAAAACACAAGCCATCGGGATTTTGGAAAAGATTCGAAACTATTTGTAAAATTTTATTTAAAAGTTTTTGTCTTTTTCACGGTAGACATTACAGTTCAAATTTTCTACTGTCTTGATATATTTTTAAACCAAAATAATTGAATCCAAATAAAATATAAAAATAATTGAAAAATCTTAAAAAAATGAAAATTTCTTGGAAAAAACATATATTTCCCAACGAAAATATAATTTGCACCAAACGCGAATAATCAAAAGAGAATTGGATACCAACATAAAACAGAGAAAGAATATTTTTACAAAATCCAGAAAACGAACGAGATGCAAAATGTCTTGCATGCAAGAAAAAATGAAATGACATTACTAACGCAGAAGCTGTATCAATTTAATATCGATATATTGAATTGAACAGAAATTATTGAACTTTACACTTTAAAAATCGATATTACCAAAAAAAAAAAAAGTTTATGGCATGTCCCCAAAAATTTTAAAAAAAACTAGTTAACAAATATTTTGTTTTACGGTGTTTGATATTGGGCCGATTTGATTGATATATGGGCTTATTTTTCAAATTATATTTGTAGGCCCAATCAAATTATTAGTCAACCTAAATAGGCCGAAGAGGCCCAATCTAGGCACAAATGAACAACAAAACCAAATTCCAACTTGTGTGTGAAGTCTAATATTTTGTTTACAAATATAAAAAAAGCATTATACTTTTGAGAAAAAAGAACGTGCCTTTTTATTTGATTTTAAACGTCAATACACTGCCTTTATACAATTAATTTGTATACAAATTATATAAATTATAATATTTTATTAAATAAGCGATTTTATAGGAAGTATGATTAATGCTCGAAACATCTTAAATAAAAAATACTTAATGAATATTATCAAGTTTTCATAGATATTTATAATTCAATCAATAAAATTTATTAAAATTCCATATTAAAAAATATATATAATAACTTCATTTTTTATCATAATAAAAATTAAATATATATTTTTAAAATTCTAAATCCAAAACGTCCAAACAAATTGTCGGTTTGCCAAAAAAAATTATGACAACAAATATAATGGTAAACTATCATATATTTTTAATTTATTTAAATAGTTTTCATCAATATTGCCATTTCAACTAAAAAATATCAGGATTCCGAATTTTCAAAGTGCATTATTGTAATCTAATAATTCGAGTTAAATATAAAAAACGAGTACAAGTCTAATCTTATTTTACCATAAAATATTGATGCCAAAGATACAGAGATCTGGATATAGGTGTATAAGTTAGCCATCATACAAAGTACGGTTTAGCCATTTTCGGTTCATCAAAAGCCGGTTCACTGTCAAACCGACTCGACCGGACGCTTCTGATATCATGTTATGCGATCATTTGATTCATTGGTATATGTATTACACACACTAGTGGAAAAAAGCCTTGGCATTCAAATAGTTCACGCCACGTGTCACAGCCAGATCAGAACCAACGCCCACCGTCGATCTCCGCCTCCGCCGACACTCTCCAGTGACGTGGCGACACGACAACCGTCCGATTTCGATCCTCCGCCGCTGTCTCCGATGCGCTCCAAACCTTCACGGACCTGTCAAGGCCTCCACTGTAAACCACCCACCTCCGACCTCCGCCGCCGGTATATTCCGCCACCGCCAAACATTTCACTGGACCCACATGTCCGGTCAACACTGCGGCGCAAGTGTGAATCCTCCCTTCCCTCCTCCACACAACCACCGTCTTGTCTGCTCCGCCGCTGAACAGAGATTTTCCGGCCGCCGCGAGGCAGAGAACAGCGAGCTTGTGCCTTTTCAAAACTCCGGCGAACTTCACGACCTTTTCGTCACCGATCTCCCAGAAATTCACAGATCCGTCGCTCGACCCACTATAAACCGTCGCTCCTATGCCGCCTTCGTCTTCGCCGGCGGTTACCAGAGCCGTAATTGCAAAGTCCTGTTTCAGCAGAGTCTGCGACAGAGTATGAATCGTGCGTCTCCGATGTATCTCACGCTTCCACACCTTCACAGATCCGTCGGCGGAGCCGGTGAAGACCAACCCAACTCCGGTGACGGTAACGGCGACGGAGTTAACGGCGTCGTCGTGGGCATTGATGGATTCGAGGCATTTTAGGTCAGAGATTCGCCAAATCTTGACCGTCCGATCCCAGGAGCCGGAGTATAACAGCCCTTGATCTTCATCGAGGCTTAGGCACGAAACGGCGTCGGAGTGTTCGATCCAGAGTGCAGTACGACGTCGTCTTACCTCAACGTAGTTGCTTGGCTTCACTGATCGCTTGAACACTTCCTTCAACGCCGGTAACGTCCCGGCGCGTTTGTACACGCGCGGGTCCTTGTTTGAGACTTTCCAAATTCGGATTTTACCGTCTTGGTGACCGGAAAAAATCTGGTTTTTGTAAACCACGATGGATTTGACAAATCCACTGTTCGATTTAAACCGGGTTAATTGGGTTAAATCTTTCCAAACCCGAATGTTTTTACTCTCCGAACCAATGTACAAAAGGCCGTTCTTCGTTGCCAACGAATATACGTGCCCTTCTTGTCCCTCGATCGATCCGATCGGCCCGTTTCTCGGGTTCTCGGTATCGTTGTTATCAGTATTATCTCGGATCGGATCGGAACAAGGCATTTTTTCGAAATAGAGATTTGGTTTCGAGTATGAGATGGTTATTAAGCTCTAAGTGTTCAGAAAAAATGTCATTATCCCCATTTATTCTGATTAAATAATATAATTTTTTTTTTTGGATTTTGTGACGTATATATATCGTATCTATCCAAACACGATGTTTTGTTTGTCGATAATGATATGCAATACTTTCAAACTCAATCCCTCTAAAAATTTTATTTATTTATTTTTTTACTGTCGGAAAATTTTTGGTGCACCATCAGACACGAATAAAAACACAAGCCATCGGGATTTTGGAAAAGATTCGAAACTATTTGTAAAATTTTATTTAAAAGATTTTTTCTTTTTCACGGTAGACATTACAGTTCAATTTTTCTACTGTCTTGATATATTTTTAAACCAAAATACTTGAATCCAAATAAAATATAAAAATAATTGAAAAATCTTAAAAAATGAAAATTTCTTGGAAAAAAAATATATTTCCCGACGAAAATCTAATTTGCACCAAGCGGGAATAATCAAAAGAGAATTGGATACCAACATAAAACTGAGAAAGAATATTTTTTACAAAATCCAGAAAACGAACGAGATGCAAAATGTCTTGCATGCAAGAAAAAATGAAATGACATTACTAACGCAGAAGCTGTATCAATTTAATATCGATATATTGAATTGAACTGAAATTATTGAACTTTACACTTTAAAAATCGATATTACAAAAAAAAAGTTTATGGCATGTCCCAAAAATTAAAAAAACTAGTAAACAAATATTTTGTTTTACGGATGTTTGATATTGGGCCGATTTGATTGATATATGGGCTTCTTTTTCAAATTATATTTGTAGGCCCAATCAAATTATTAGTCAACCTAATTAGGCCGATGATGCCCAATCGAGGCACAAATGAACAACAAAACCAAATTCCAACTTGTGTGTGAAGTCTAATATTTTGTTTACAAATAAAAAAAAGCATTATACTTTTGAGAAAAAAGAACGTGCCTTTTTATTTGATTTTAAATGTCAATACACTGCCTTTAACAATTAATTTGTATACAAATTATATAAATTATAATATTTTATTAAATAAGCGATTTTATAAGAAGTATGATTAATGCTCGAAACATCTTAAATAAAAAAATACTTAATGAATATTATCAAGTTTTCATAGATATTTATAATTCAATCAATAAAATTTATTAAAATTCCATATTAAAAAATTATATATAATAACTTCATTTTTTATCATAATAAAAATTAAATATATATTTTTAAAATTCAAAATCCAAAACGTCGAAACAAATTGTCGGTTTTCCAAAAAAATTATGACAACAAATATAATGGTAAACTATCATATATTTTTAATTTATTTAAATAGTATTCATCAATATTTCCATTTCAACTAAAAAATATAAATATTCCGAATTTTCAAAGTGCATTATTGTAATCTAATAATTAGAGTTAAATATAAAAAAACGAGTGCGTCTTATCTTATTTTACCATAAAATATTTATGCCAAAGATACAGAGAGATCTGGATATAGGTGTATAAGTTAGCCATCATACAAAGTACGGTTTAGCCATTTTCGGTTCATCAAAAACCGGTTCACTGGCAAACCGACTCGACCGGACGCTTCTGATATGAGATATCATGTTATGCGATCATTTGATTCATTGGTATATGTATTACACACACTAGTGGAAAAAAGCCTTGGTATTCAAATAGTTCACGCCACGTGTCACAGCCAGATCAGAACCAACGCCCACCGTCGATCTCCGCCTCCGCCGACACTCTCCAGTGACGTGGCGAGACGACAACCGTCCGATTTCGATCCTCCGCCGCTGTCTCCGATGCGCTCCAAACCTTCACGGACCTGTCAAGGCCTCCACTGTAAACCACCCACCTCCGACCTCTGCCGCCGGAATATTCCGCCACCGCCAAACATTTCACTGGACCCACATGTCCGGTCAACACTGCGGCGCAAGTGTGAATCCTCCCTTCCCTCCTCCACACAACCACCGTCTTGTCTGCTCCGCCGCTGAACAGAGATTTTCCGGCCGCCGCGAGGCAGAGAACAGCGAGCTTGTGCCTTTTCAAAACTCCGGCGAACTTCACGACCTTTTCGTCACCGATCTCCCAGAAATTCACAGATCCGTCGCTCGACCCACTATAAACCGTCGCTCCTCCGCCGCCTTCGTCTTCGCCGGCGGTTACCAGAGCCGTAATTGCAAAGTCCTGTTTCAGCAGAGTCTGCGACAGAGTATGAATCGTGCGTCTCCTATGTATCTCACGCTTCCACACCTTCACAGATCCGTCAGCGGAGCCGGTGAAGACCAACCCAACTCCGGTGACGGTAACGGCGATAGAGTTAACGGCGTCGTCGTGGGCATTGATGGATTCGAGGCATTTTAGGTCAGAGATTCGCCAAATCTTGACCGTCCGATCCCAGGAGCCGGAGTATAACAGCCCTTGATCTTCATCGAGGCTTAGGCACGAAACGGCGTCGGAGTGTTCGATCCAGAGTGCAGTACGACGTCGTCTTACCTCAACGTAGTTGCTTGGCTTCACTGATCGCTTGAACACTTCCTTCAACGCCGGTAACGTCCCGGCGCGTTTGTACACGCGCGGGTCCTTGTTTGAGACTTTCCAAATTCGGATTTTACCGTCTTGGTGACCGGAAAAAATCTGGTTTTTGTAAACCACGATGGATTTGACAAATCCACTGTTCGATTTAAACCGGGTTAATTCGGTTAAATCTTTCCAAACCCGAATGTTTTTACTCTCCGCACCAATGTATAAAAGGCCGTTCTTCGTTGCCAACGAATATACATGCCCTTCTTGTCCCTCGATAGATCCGATCGGCCCGTTTCTCGGGTTATTCTCGGTATCGTTGTTATCAGTATTATCTCGGATCGGATCGGAACGAGGCATTTTTTCGAACTAGAGAATTCCTAAAAATGGGAATTACTATATTTTTTATTTGGTTTGGATTTCTTTAAAACGGCTCTTCTACGGAGATGCAAATGGCTACATGGGAGTTGCATATAAGAGAACACTTGGGCAATAAGAGACTGACACGTGGCATATTTTTTGTAAATTATTGTTTCTGAAAAAATACTTTTGATATTGTAATAATATTTGTTCAATTTCAGTGGGGGGCCGCTTATAAAATGGCACGTATAAGCACTGCAAACGGTACCGAACTTCTTTAGAGGTTTTATTTTACCATTTTTGTTATGCGCAATTTTTGCAGTAGGTGGAAGATATTAATGGTTGATTAAGCAACGGACCAATTTTGTTAAGCAATATGTGTTATTTTTGGAAGGGCATGGTAATAATACAGGGTCATCTCTCGTTGTAAATCATGCAACATTTTTGGAATAAAGCTAATTATATATATATGGTCGGCCGGCCCATGTATTAGTCCGGCATATCTAGACAAATCGAGATTTTATATATATAAAAAAAACAAGTTCTATCTTAAAAAATATAGATATAAGATCAATAGATTTACAAGGAATCGTTTAATTTCGTAAGATAATGAGAACAAAAGATAAATTATTTTGGTAAAATTGTATATTGATGATTCGAACACATAAATATCGACGGTTTGATTTGTCTAATCTAATATTTCTATAACTCATCTAAATTTGGATAGTTCAACCGGTAAAATGGGATGTAAAACGTCTATCACGTCCGGAATTTGAATCTCAAATTTAGAGAGAAAGTGTATATTCTAAAGCACCTGATTGACTCCCGTTTCCAAAATTAGTCTAGACCTTGGTTTAGAATACCTGCTTAAAAAAAAAAGGTTCTTATGACTCTCATTTAATTTTATCCAATGTAATATAGAAAAATTTATGAACGAAATATTTGTAATGCGATGACAAAATAAAGGATGTTATTTTTTTTTTAATCTTACTGTGATACTCAAACAAAATTAATGTTATTATTTTTATTTAATTTAATTGAATTAGTTTAAAATTTTTAAGATTACATGTATTAACTTTGATCAATTCACCCCATTACGACATCTTGAAGAAAGTTTTACAGTTTAAAAACTAACATATATTTAGAAAAAAAAAGGTCACGTGATAACATGCATGATTATATTAAAGAGGGATACTTTAGTCCTAATTAATGATTAAGGGTCTTTAATTAGTCCACTCAGTCAAGTTTTACTCTATATAAAATAGCGAATTATTTGCTGATAATTCCGAGGTGTAATGAGTGTCCGAGTCCTTATAGTTTTTAATCCATTCTCTACGTGCAGACCATGAATTATGTCGTATAAGAATTTTTTGGGTTCTCAAAAACAAAAGAATTGATTTCTCTTTTTAAAAAATACATTTATAGGTCTTATCATTATCAACGAGATTTGTGTTTTTATTTACTTTATTTCACATTATATTTTCTTGTGTTCAATTTGTTTCCTCTTTTTTTTTTCCGAATTTTTCTATTTATTTCTTGTTTCGAATAAAGCAAAGAGATTTAAAAACATAAATTGGCTACATTGCATAAAATATAAAAATGAAAAATCTCATATAATTACTTACACCAAAAAAAAGGAGAAAAAATATCATATAAAACATTAAATCAAGTTAATCGTTGATCTTGAATCCTATGATATGATTCATTATACAATTTATTTTCTAAATGGACTGCAAAATTATATTTATCTTTCTATTTATTCTACTATTAAAATATTCCAAAAAACCCTTAAATTATCATTCCAAACTGTTTTTCTTCTTTTTAGTATTCTACAATCTATCTAAATTATAAACTTCAGATATAATTTCGGTTTTTCGTTCAAAGTTATATTTATTTTCTTCACTTTTCAGTTTATATTCACATGGTTCGTCCCTTTTAAATTCAGTCTCAGATAAAATAATTATAGCATTTTTTTTGAATAAATTATTCATTGCAAATTCGAAAGCTACCCTATGAATATGCATGCTTCGAGAAGGAAATATGCATACTACACCATCCGACACTTGACACGTGTGTTATTTTCTTGTGATCTCGTGGTGCAATTTTCAAGATAAAAATAGCAACCGTTGTGATTGAGCCACGTGTCCCACTGTCCGTAAAGTATATGCTCAGAATTACCAACCACTACGGACCTCTGAACATATAAAATGCTGTTCTTTTCCTCATGTATGAATATAATAACATTGGCAATGATCATGCACATGTTATCGTGTTACGCATTGTTCTTTCCTTAATAATATATTAATTTATATATATGAATTTAGATGTGGGAAAACTAATTCTATTGTGGCATTACAAATATTTATTTATTTGAAGTAATTGTTCCTCTGTGAGCATATTCTCTTTTTTAGGGTTTTGGCACTATGAATTGGTAAACAGAGATGAGATCACTCATGAAGTCATCCTCTTAACCTGATATTTTGTTCACCTCAAATGCATGTTCTTTGTTATCATTTCTATATATAGATTATATTATATTTGGTTCCATCAAAATATTATTTCATGGAACAGATTATGCAACAAAAAAAATTCAAGTATGAATATTCTTAAACTTACTCGGATTCCTAAAAATGGGAATTACTATATTTTTTATTTGGTTTGGATTTCTTTAAAACGGTAAACATTCTCCTAAAAAGCTTAACTACGTTATATGTTTAAATAATTTGGTAATCAATAATAATAATAAGGGTAAATTGCCCAAAAAACCATATACTTTTATTTTGTTTCAATTTAAACCCTATACTTATTTTTTTCCTAAAAACCCTATATTTTTAGATTATCTCCAAAAAACCCTATACTTTGCAAATTATGACAATTGAAACCCTATAATAATCTTCAACTATATGTTTTGGGAAAAGATGCGTAACCTATGTATATAACATAGGTTTCTTTTTTTTGGAAACATAACAGTAGCCACAGAGATTGAGCCATGTGTCCCACGGATGCTATAATGTTTCAACCACCATCGAAAAGCATATACTAAATTTATTATCGTAATTTTTTATTAGAAGAAATATTATTTACCGCATCTATCGGGAATTTTTTTTTCTTTCAATTTTCGCTATTTTCTTCTCGTATCATGTAATTTGATATTAGTAATTTAAATATTGGTTCGAGCAATCTAGATGTTTGTGATGATTAGATGCCTAGATTTATATTATTCTTAATCGATGAAACAAACCCATCTATTTATTTAGACAGTTGAATATCAAACAACATTTTCAACTCACTAAAAAAGGAAATATTTAAAATTATGGAGAGTTTGCATATATATTGTCATTTGTCTTCATTCTAGTCTTAGAATACAAGATGAAAATTAGACATGTTCGTGATCGAGCCCTAAGGATCCAAGATGAGTTGGATTAACCATTAATGCGTGAGACAAAAATTCTTCTCAATCAATATTCGAATCTCCATTTGAATAGAGACGTTTATGCAAATTTTCTCGATCCTTTAACAATTGTAATGATTCCGCCGTTTCATAATGGCCGCAATTTCCTTTGAAATATATTCTAAAAAATGCCGCAATTTCATGCGTGTCTAAAAGAAGGAAAAAAAAATTAGTCATCACAATGTCCGGTTTATATTTCGAAGGAGCCCACGCGGTGCCCAACGAACTCAAAAACCTCTTTGACGGTCCGAAAATTGAAATTTCCTTGGAAAAAACTACAAAGATCCCTCGAATCTTCTCTTCATTTCATTTGGCGCCATGCGTAGCTGTTTCACACTTTCCCATATAATGATCAAGATGACATGTGAGGAACTCTATATAAATTTTTGGAGAACCCCCTCTATATATTTGGACAGTGATGTATCGTGAAAAAGACCTGTTACATCATCTACAAAGTCAAAATGTGATAACAAAAAAAAAATCAGACAAAAATGAAAAATCTTTTTTTTTTAAAAAAATAAAAATAAAAATTGTTATTCCACGATATGATGAAAATATATCTTATCCCTTTCCTTACAAAGATATTAATTCCCTTTCTCTTCATAATTCGGAACAAAGATCTTCTTCACCAAGTGTCTCTCTCCAAAGAAAGATGAACGAACCCTAACTCTAGCATCGATCTTTGCCAAAATTCGATAAACGACATTTAATTATCTGTATAACACTTCACCACACAAAAAAAATCAGTCTATGCATAAATAGTGTGCCTAAAAGAGAATCGAGTATAATTCTAATTTACAAATCAAAATTTTATATGAAATATATATAATTTTTTTAAAAAACTTGTGAATATTTGATATGAGATTATGTAAATGATATATTATTAGTATGATGTGTATATAATATATACACACACCAACCTCTAGCCCCCCATTAATTGGGTTATGGGCATTTTGTGTAACCCATTCAAATAGCTTACTGGCCCATTCCTCTCATTCTGGGCTTGTCATTACCATTCTTTTTCTTTATTTCCTTTTTATTTGAAACAATTCCCTAATATATGTTTTTTATAACAAAATAACCTATGCTTTTCTTATACTTTTCTTTTTCATTATGTAATCAATTTGGACTCAACTTCCTCTTCCTCCAAGCGGAATAGAAAAATGAGGAATACAAAATAAGAGAGAAAGAAAAAACTTGTTTCTAGGGTACATATTTCAATTTGATTATACTTTTGGTTGGATTATTTTTATTTTATAATATTTGTCACCTTCATTTTTTATGTCGGTTTTCAATTTCGATTCGATTCTTTTTGAAAAAGATATTGAAGTTAAAATACTTTTATTTTCCTTTTCCTATTATTTTTATATTCATTTCGAATTCAAACAATTTGGTTAAAAAAGAATAATATCCAATCAGTTAATTAGGCTGGATTTGATATTTAAATATGCTCATGGGTTATTTGGTTCACTTAGGATTAGTTTTTAATAACTAAACCGAAGTGTTTGCCTACCTGCCTTCAATTAAAAAAAAAGGAATCAGGAATCTGAAATTCGATTAAAGAAACAAAGATTTATTTACAAGGAGTGCGTCAGCAGAATAAGAACAAGGCGGGCAAAATCCAAACAACATAGACAATAAATTGACTTAAGTATGTTTCTGATTTAGACACAGCCCGCCAAAAAAATCTTATCATTTAGCAACCCTACAAAAGTTGTTCCAATTTGTTCTCTCTCTCCCCCAATGGCTTCTTTAGCAGTTAATGACAAAACATGCAACAACAAGAATAAAACTTTGTGAAGATCTTGAAACCCTAATTTGTGTATCAAGTCATCTTTACCTCAAGCCAAAGCACACCAAGCAAACCCTAGTCAAAGAGAGATATTCGTCTACATCTCAAATATAAGCAGAATCCAAAAGTAAGCTTTGCTGCCCTCTGATTGGTAATCCCTTTGTGTTTCTTTATGGACTGATGGATCTCCTCAGCAGAAGCACGGCAGTGAAGTGGCATAAAAGCTCTTAATTTGTGGCAGATTATGTTAATGAATAATGTAATATATAGAAATAGTTTGGATTTTCACAATAATTTGAGAGAACATAGTAAAATATTAAAGAGTTTAAAAGAAAAAAAAATGAAAACAGAAAATTTAGTAGAATTTCATACAATTTTAGATTCTAATATGAAAGAGGAGAATGAAGAAAAAAATAGAAACACAAAAAAAATGAGAAAGACTTGAGTGACATTTAATTTAATTTGTTTTTAAAAAAAGGAGAGAAAAAGATTAGATGGCCAGCGAGGAAGTCGTATCATTTTTGTCATTGGAAGTGGCGATTATGATTCGAATGGCCAATCAGCTTCTGACACGTATAGATTCTTAGGTAATCCATGTCATAATATGGCCATTCGAGTTTGTAAGTGCAGTTTCGTAATAACGGCCGGCTTTAGGATCTGTATTAACAAATTATAAATTAAATAATACCTTCCTACGCCACTGAAATTAGTATTGTTTATTTACAATATCTCATATAAAATCAAATAAAAATATCATTAATTTTTGTATAATGTTAAGAAAATCTAATCACTTTTGCAATAACAATCAAACCAAATCAAATGTTGATGTATTTTAGTGCATTGCAACTAGAAATGAGCGATGGCATTAGAGTTAAGCATCTACGGTTCAAATATATCATGAATACACAGTTATATATGGATCGAGTGAGTTCGTTTACCCTTTTAATAAAACATAATTTAAGAGTATAATTTTACCCATTAATTTCTACAAACTCGCTGCTATTATATTGTACGGTTTTACCAATTCAATGACTTTACAAAACTTTTCTCATGCTAATAATATTAATAACCACCAACGTAAGTGCGAACACGTAATTCCAATTTTACCCCCGTCCTGAAAAACCACCCTTACGTACACACCTGCGAACAAATTTCAAATTCCGGTTTTACCCTTGTCTCAAAAGCTCGCCTTCCTCAACGAAGTAACAGTAATGGAGCTCCCGATCGCCGACGAACCAACCTCGATATCGAACGAATCGTATCGCCGGAATACCTCCACCAGAAACAGCGTTGCCACCAGAACCACGAAATCCTTCCCGGCGCACTGCTTGTTCTCCGTCGTTGCCGCCGCCGTCTCCGGCCCGTTCGACCACACCACGTGCCTCAGCAGCTTCTCCCCTTCTTCTCCGATGAACCTATCTGGCACGAAATCCTCTGCTCGGTCGAAGATCCTCGAGTCCTTCGTCGCGAACGGCTGGTACCCGAAGAGGATCTCGCCGGCGCGTACCCTGAACGCGCCGTCGTGGCTCTCGACCACCAGGTCTTGCCTCGCTCGTCCGTACTGCGCTGGCACCGGCGGCTCGATCCGGAGGCACTCGTAGACGACTGATCTGGTGAGTTTCATCCGCTCGATCGCGGCCATCTTGAGTTCTCCGCCGTTTGATCTGATCTCGGATCGGATTTCCTCTGCTAATTGGGTCTGAAGCCGGGTCCCGGCTCGTCCGACCCGTTTCATGAGGTTGGAGAATAGAATCTTCATCCCTCCCCAGGTGTTAAAGCACGTGGCGAAGAGGAGGTTGTGAGTCGCTTCCTCTCGCGAGATCCCCAATTTCTCCGCCTCCGCGAGATATTCGCCGGAATACTCGGCAAAGAAGTCGTAGAGTCTCTGGTAATCGGACTTGACAAGCGACGGAGGGAGGCGGAACGTGTGGAGGAGGGAATCTTCTAGAAGCTTCGGAAGACCGATCGACAACAATGGATGGAGATTGAAGAAGACCCATTTCGAGATTAGACTTGGCGCGTCGACCCCGAGGCTCGTCTCCTTCGGATTCTTCCCGTACATCGCTCGGGCGAGAAATTCGAACGCGGCTCTCTCTCCAGCGCCGGAAAAATCTGCCTTGCCCTTCACGGCGAGTTCTTTCTCGAGATCATCGAAGAGCTCCGAGTAAGTGGCGCGAAACTCGGGAAGGATCCTGTGGCGAGACGATTTCAGGACAAAGAAGATTAGGTTCTTGAGCTTGGCGTGGTTCGGCTCCGACGTGTCGAGATACGACAGAACTCTGTAACCTCCGGTGAGTTCTGTCGACGGCATGTAAGTTCCGGTGAAGACATTCTTCTTCTCGACCTTGTCGTTGTCGAACAAAACGGAGAAGCTTTTGCCGTCGAGCAACGCCACGACGTTTGGGTTTTCCGCGATGAAACTACCTGGCGGCATATTGACACGAAACACCGTGGAGTTGTATTTCCGGATACGGGATTTGAAGAACTCTTCGGCTCCTTGGTTGTAGAAGTAATCGAACCGATCTTTGATTGGTCCAATGATCGGCAAACCATAATCGCCTGGTACTTCCCGGATCCGAATCATGCCGGGTTTGGATCCGGGTCGGGTCGCCACCGCGAGATCCGTTCGCTGCGAAACAGAGGCGGTGATTTTACGTGTCGAAGAGGGCCGGATCGCAGGGAAATTCGCCGGCGGCGAGGATTTTTGATGTGGGTGTAGCGAGATCGGGAGAGGACTCAAAACTGAGGAAGCCATTCTCGGTTTAGATGAAAGGTTCTTGATCTTTTTTTTGTTTGGTTTTATGGATGCAGAATCGGAGGAGATGCTGATTTAGATTTATAATGGGAGAAAGAGGAGACGGATCATCATCTACCGTTTGGGTTTTGCATTCTCCGACCAAGCAGTATTTTTGGTCGGAGGGAGTTGACCATAGAGTCAAAGTTACTGTTGGAAAACGGTAATAATCACGTGCTTTATATTGGTTTACCACGTGAGCGCACTATATTGCATTTACGGGCCATTCCTCCCACTATATCTGTAAAATGTTTTTGTTTTCGTATTTACTCGGGCTGGCTTATTCTATTGCATATATTGATATGAAACACCCCAAAATCATATGCACTAATCACTAATGTTTAAAAAATGATATTAATCGCGTGCTTTTAAATTACCAAAATATCAAGCACAGATCTCTAGACTTTCAATAATTGATAAGATATTTGCTGAAGTTGTGGAGGTCATTTTCTTCAGTGACTCTTATTGTCCTCCTCCTCCAGCTTTTTTTTACATCAACGTCGTGGAGAACAGCCTCGCTGCTCCTTGTTTCTATCTCTTTTGAGCCACATTTTACGAACTAATATGTTTTTTCCTTCAATTCTTTTTTCCACATTTTAAAAAAATTTACAGATATTAATAGCACCGGAGGCATGCAACCCATTGGTTATAAAGTGGATCCACATGTATATATTTGTGTATATATAAATATAATATATAAAAGCGTAAGAAACTACATCTTATTTATAAAAAAAAAAAGAACGACTGACTCGTATCTTTGAATTGTGTGTACACATATACATATGTACACGTCGTAGCCTAAATTGCCGCACCTGAAAAACAAAAGTCCACGGAAGGTCGGAGCGACGAAACAAAAACGGCACACATTCCTTGAGGATTCCGCCGTTTCATAATGGCCGCAATTTCCTTTGAAATATATTCTAAAAAATGCCGCAATTTCATGCGTGTCTAAAAGAAGGAAAAAAAAATTAGTCATCACAATGTCCGGTTTATATTTCGAAGGAGCCCACGCGGTGCCCAACGAACTCAAAAACCTCTTTGACGGTCCGAAAATTGAAATTTCCTTGGAAAAAACTACAAAGATCCCTCGAATCTTCTCTTCATTTCATTTGGCGCCATGCGTAGCTGTTTCACACACACACACACATATATATACACGTACGTACACAGACGTTACAACTCCGAAGCAAATTTCAAGAAGCGATGACGACTATCAGATTTCTTGTGCGTAACTCTAAACCGTTGGATCGATTTCTTCCATCGGCATCGGCATCGTCATCTTCTTCCTTTAGACTTGCTTCTTCTTCTTGTTTATCCGTCACAAGAGCCGTGAAATGCTGCTCTTCGAGGTTAGGATCGGATGGTCGGAAATCGGTCCTGAGAGAAAGAGAGAGGAGATCGACGGTGGAGGTGAAAGCATGTACATCGACGACGGAGAACGTCATCACGTGGGAGGCACGTGCAGGCCGAGGGTTGACGGAGTTATTGTTGCTTGTGACACAAGTTGGAAATGCTGTTCTTACGGCGTTGAGGCAATCTGTGGAAAGACGGCCGTCAAAATTGCAGATTCAGCGATACGTAGAAAGGGTATGTGTGTGTATATATGCTATAGTTTTCTCTATATATATATATATTAATCGGAATTTTGTGTTGCAGGTGATAATAGATTGTAGATTCTTTACCGTACTGGCAGTTGTAGGGACATTAGTAGGCTCTATACCATGCTTCGTTGAGGTAAATTTATTCTTCGGATTCCGACTATATATATGTATGTATATGTATGTGTGTATGCATGTATGTATCTATGTCTGTCTTCTACTGTTAGAACTCCCAAAGTGTTAATGTTGTCTGAAGACCAAGAAATTGTCCTGTCTTTTAGGGTTGCTTTCTCGTATTGGAATCATACTTCCACAGTTTTGGCACATTGTCAAATGGAGTAGAGGATCGTACGGTTCATCTACTAATCGAAGCCATAGGTATCATCGTTTCGTCGATTTTTCCGTCGACTATCGATCGAATCGAAAACATAGGAAATAAAGAATTTAACGTTTCCTTTTCCTTCCACTTCTACGGCCACAGATATGTTCTTGCTTGGCACGTCGATGCTAGTTTTCGGTATCGGTATCTATAACATGTTCGTACGAAGCGGAGTTAAACAACGAAAAACCCGATTTCTCGACTCGAAATCGGATCTCTTTGGAATCTTCCAGCTAAAGGTACATAACAAAACCCAAACATAACCTAACGGATCCGAACCCAAACCCGAAATGGCAACCACTAATTTTTACCCATTTCGCTGATACCTGTTGGATATGATACAGACGCGGCCGTCGTGGATGGAGATGGGATCGATCTCTCGGGCGAAATCGAGAATCGGGTATGCAGTGGTGATGATACTTCATGTGGGGATGATGGAGAATTTCAAGAACGTACCATTAGTCACATGCTTAGACCTCGCTTGCTTCAGTGCTTCGGTGTTTATCTCCTCAGCTTCAATGTTCCTCTTCTCCAGATTGTCTTCTCTTCACCAGTAATAATGCTTTCCCCAAGCTGGCTGTAGTTGTTATGTTCCTGCATTTTTTTTTAACAAATGTGTTTTTTTCCATGTTTTCGAGCGAGATCGAAACAGAAACTGGCGTAAATATGGCGGAAATTGTTAACAAAAAGTGTAACAATCGGCGAAACGTGATGCATATGTACCTATCGGAAAATCGTATCACCGTTTGACATGTTTGTGAGAGAAGCTCTCGCATTTCTGTGAGGGAAGGGACGTTTTCGTGAACATGGTGCCGCCTATTATTATGATCCAAGAATACTTGAGGAAATATGCAGTGGTGAGTTGGTACAAGAGAAAGGGAAACTGTCAAGCAACTAATTAACTAACCTCTTCCGGTGCAATAGTGTACATGAAATCCTCGATCTTTTTGGCAAACTGCACATACAAGAACATGTCAACCAAGAAATTTTTCATAATTTTACAAGCTTAGCTCTGTTGGAGTTTTTGCTCCGAGTTTTCGATCAGCTGATTACTTGGTTGATGTTGATGTCTAGGCAGAAATTTGAGAGCAGTTTGCCAAATAAAAAATTGCCAGTTATATTTACAGTTTCTTTAAGAGATACTGAATTCAACCTATTCACCAAATTCAGGAAAAAAAACTCGAGGAGGCAGAGGAGAAAGGTTAAGGAGGATACCCGATAACAGAATCGTACATTACCTTTGGGATTTTCCCGTTAAGCCTTTGGTCCATAAAAGGCAAATCCCCTTACGACCACAACTCTCCATTTCCCTAGATACCCATTTCTCATCAATCTTATGACCCTCGGATTCTTGGACAGCAAGAGTAATTTCATCCCAAAATGCGACATAGCAGACCTGCATCCACATATTCAGTCAGCATTGGCGAATACAACAACATGAACGGGTAATTTAATGCAAACCTCTTCGTATGCAAAGCTATATTATTAGTATAGAAGAAATCGGTTCAAGGGCTGAGAATGATAGTTTACAGCATTTACACACACTGTTGGCTTGATGCCTTTGACATTCCAATAGGTTGATAAAGGTCATCTCCACCACCAAAAGCACAAGTTGACACTACTACTTTGCATTAATCTTTTGTCCTCATCAGAGATCCTAAATCCTCCATTTTCAACTGAAAAACCCACAATACACAGACACTATTTCCCTTACCTGTGAGCCAATATTTCAAGGGGGGAAACAAAGGAAATCAGCAATCAAGAAGTTATCGATAATCCAAGTTATTAATTTGCAGAGTTAACCAACTCATGACCTGAAAACTTTTTCTCCCTCTCAGCAAAAGTTTGGTTTCCAGTGAATGAAGTAAACCGTGTCCCGTTGATTCCTTGGGGACAGAGAGCCATCTTTTCGTCTGTAGAAGAAGTGCCTGTATCAGATAGATACACAACTTCTTGTATGGGAGAACCTGAATCTTTATGATCCGGGATGTCAAGAAGCTCGAGATCTTCAGCAGGCAGGGATGTCAAGAATCTGAATTTCACTTATCAATCTGTTTCTTCATAAAATGAACACCCATAGACAAAATTCTCAGATCAAACAATCATTACCGAGTCTCATTCACAGGACATCAATCAATACATGAGCTTTAACCAATCATACGACTTGGCAGAAAACAAGTGAATTTCACAGATTCATCAGTCTCACGTCAAAACCCCGACATAAGCACTCCAAAATTCAAACCCAGTACGAATTTTCTTATAACATTGTCCACAAAAGATCCCCTTTTCTACACTTGTAACAATTAGAAACAAATGAAATTCGATATTCTAACTAACAGCTACATTACTCTTTCATGTTCGAAGTTCATCTTCCAGTGACAGAACAATTCGGAATAGAAATTCCGAGGAAGAAAGGAAATGATCGAGCTTACGCTATCTAACACCACCTACAAGCCTCATCATCGGATCCAATCTGTTCAAATTTCCCTCATTCTTCTTACTCAGACTCGCTCCCTTCCCCAGATCCGGTGCCTTCAACCCACTGAGTTCCGAGTTTGCTCCACCGCCGGATTTCATCCCGATTCTAATCGCTTCAACAACGATCAACCCAAAGTTCATGAGGAGTCTCAGAACTCGGTGAGGCAACTCATCGTTGCTCGGTGACTCGGATTCTTGCGCTTCCTACGGGAACGGGCTCGAATCCGATTCAACTCGTCCTCCGAAACCGAGATCGACACGCCGTTATTGGTGTTGCTGCTGCAGAACGTTGTGATTCACTAACTGGTTTGAATTGATCTCCGATGGTTTTTCTGAGATGCGAACGAAAGCTCCAAATCTTGTTGGGCGCACTTTGGTTTCGTGATCGAACCGGACCAAGCTCGACCGGTTGTTTAACCGGATATCCATTTGTATAGGTTTGTAATCTTTTCAAGAATTACATATGCCCCGTAATTTTATTGGCTTTAGAGATTCGACCCCACCATTCTTCAGCAAGTAAAAATCCCATTTTATAATTTGAAAATAACGATTTACATCATAGCGTTAATGCGTCACTAGGGACAGTGATCCTAGTGTCACATCACAACAGCAGAAATAAATATTAATAATCATGATAACAAAAATCATCTACAAATATAAAAAAAAAACGCTGCAAAATATAAAAAATATATTGGCACAAACATACAAAAATAACATTTCTTTCCATGTTTATTTCTATTTGGATATATAAAAAAAGGAAATCAACTTACGAAAAAAAATTGATATTTCCAAAATATTAATTTTAGAAGATTCATCAGTGCATCACCATATAAATATACCGCGTCGATCAGTGAGATAAATATAACTAAGAGCAAAATGATAAAAAGAAAGCTATCAATTTTCAGACGACATATAATATAGTTTTTATAGGGATTAAAATTTTAAAATTTTATAATAAAATTAACTTTTTCTTCCCTACAATAAGACCTTCGTCCGTCACTAATCCGAAGATATGGAATATATCACTCGACCGTTGAGCCACCCCATCTCCGAACCCGACTCTCCGCTTGTTCCGCCTGCGACAGATTTCACGACCAAAAAAAAATACAAGCTTCGATTATTATTATTAAAATCAAGACATTAAAATATAACGTATTGAATTATAAAATAGATTAACTTAGCCTAAAAATCTGATTTAAATATATCAGAATTCTTTTTTTTTTTTTGTAACAGACATGTAAGAAGAGGTGCAAAAAAGATACGGACCTCTTTGTTCCAGTTAGTCAGGTAGATGATGACGATCAGGATGATGGTTTGTAAGCAAATCCCAGCAACCATACCGGACCAAATCCCCTGCCATAACCGGAAAAGAAAAAAACAGCCTGAACAAACCCGAAATAGCAGCGGTTTCATCCGTCGGGTAAGGGGTATTTTCGGGAATTCACCTGAACGCCGAGGCCTAGCGTGAACCCGAGCACGATCCCGAGAGGCAACCCGAGAATGTAGTAACACCCGATGTTGATATAAGCCACCAGAGATTGCCATCCCGCTCCAACCGCAACTCCTGCAGAACGAAACAAAGGGTTTCTAAGTCATGTAACCGCAGAGTTTCTCATCCTAAGATTTTTCGGATACCCCAATTTTTTTTTACCCGACAAGACGGGTTGGAGGCTGTTCAAAAGGACGGTGAAGGCTAACAAGACGGCGAGCCTCGTGGTCTCCGCTGCCACGGCTTCGCTCGAAGTGAAGAGATGGGGAAAGTAATATCTCGTGGCCAAGACAACGATCATACACACGAGCCCGATTGCAATGGACGTGATCGAGACAACTACCACCGAGAATTTCGCTAGCCGGGAATTCCCCGCGCCTAATTCGTTCGAAACCCTCACACTGATAATCCGAAAAACGCAAGGATTCAACGGGTTTGCATTCGCTGATACATTTCATATGACTGCGGAAATGAATCCGAGATGTTTACCTTATTGCAGCATTGAAACCGATGGAGATCATGGCGGTCCAGCCTTCTATGTTCATGCTGTGAAAATCATTAGAAACAAGAAAATATCAAAAGGCTTAATACTATATATGTGTGTGTGTGTATAACTATATATATATAGTTAGTGTAATGCTCAGGTTACCATATAGAGATGGCATCAACTGGAACAAGCGGATTGGGAAGAAGACCCGTGACGACCACAAGAACCATCAAGTACCAGAACTCCAAGCTGTAGATTCACACTCGGAATCAAACACATTTTCTTAAAAAAAATGGATTTTTTGTTATCTTTTATTCATTTCAGTTCGTTTTGGACTCGTTTTTCTCTATTAGGGAAATCATAACCATTCGGGTTTTATATCGGATCCAACTCGGTTCGGTTTTTCATTTATTAATCAAATTGATCACTCCAACTTGAAATAGCGAGAGACAGCAACTATTACCAGAGCATAACAGCGGAAGCCAAAGAGAGCTTGACGAAAGCGTATAAATCCCGGAACGCGAGCCACGAGAATCCGTTCCACGCACCATCCGAAGTCGTGATAAAGATATACAACAATTGTCCGATAACGATCAACCACCACGACGTATTTAGAGTGATTGCTGCTCCGACCAGTCCCCAGTTAAGCTTGAGGATAAGCAGCCAGCTCACGATCGCATGGATCACGAGAACCGCCGCGGAAATCCATGCCATCACGAGCACTTTTCCCTGCGATTGTAGGAATTTCTGTATCGGGAAGTTCATCGCGTAGGCAAATAGCTGCGGTATCATCCACAACGCGAATTTTCCTGCATCAATGTATAAAAGATTAGGATTATCGCAGTCACCAGATTTAATTCTCGTCCAGTAATATCGATCCGATTTTTGGATACGTGAGTCATGGATTGAATATCCAAAGTTTGGAGATATTTCGGGATCCGACTCGCAGTTTTCATATACACAGGTTTGGACTGCGTTAGAAACAATACACACGTGAAACGAATGAAACACAGTTCGAAGAAGGCGAGGTCGGGACAGGCGTACCCGCAGCTCGGGAGATAGGAGGAGCCTCGCCGAAGAAAGAAAGGATAGGAGGAGACCAGACGTAGACGGGAAGCAAACAGCATGCAGTGACGAAGAGAATGACCCAAGAACGTTGCATGTATACTCCTAACATCCGCAGCTGTCCCGCCCCGAACGCTTGCCCACATAACGTCTCCAATGCACTCCCCATCCCTAACTGCTTCATACTTGGAGGTATAAGAACCGAATCGAATATAAAAATCGAATGTTTATAATTTTTTTCAAAACCGAACTACATAAAAAATAATCGAAAAATCCAATTTGATTAATGAATATTTTTATAAGTAAAACCCGAATTGAACGGAACCGAAATCAATATAAAAATCGAATGGTTATAATTTTTTAAAACTAAAATAATCGATTGAATCCAAATCGAAATTCGGATAAACCACCCTATGCAAGACTATGATATAGTTTAGATATCTGATTTTTCAAAATATCCAATCTTTGATTTAGTAGATTCTAAGTTTTTGAATTGATTTATGCGTAAGCACATTTTGGATAATCCTAAACTCGAGACAACAAAAGAACCCATGTCGTTAGTTATAAAGAAACTTTTAGGTGAAAAAGTGGAGAGAACAAACCCAATTTTAGTTCTTTTTTCAAATTTAATAATTCTAACATATTTTTTATTTTTCCAATCAATTTAGGAAAAAAACGAAGACGTTGTAAATAAATAAAATATGATCTTTTGGATCTAACTTTTAATTTCACAAAAGGAAAAAAAAACATTTATTGCCAACAGTGTTATCCTCGTGAATGGTACCACATCGTGGCCGAATTAGAATCACTCAATTTCAATGGTAATTAGGATAAAACCAAATTAATCACTAATTATCAGAGATGCTTAACGATAATTAAAGGTTTTACTTCTTTATTTTTTAATTATTATAAAATTTTAAATAGGTTTATAAATTTTAAATAAGTAACAGATTATATACATATATATGTGTATAAGATATGTGTGAGGGAAAACGGACCATGACGCCAAAGGCGAGACCGGCGACAACGGAGTTCTCGACGGAGACGGCGGCGAGTTCGAGCTCTCCGATATGTCCGGCGAAGGTCTGAGTCAGTGCTCCGAGTGAGTATTGACAGATTGCGGTGAAGATTGCCGGTCCGGCAAGTTTCCACAGCCTCCGTGACTCCTCGCCGAACTCTCTCGCCGTCGCCGGAGACTTTATTCCCGGCGATTCTCCACGGCGGAGCAGCGGTGATGTTTCCTCCTTCGCCATGCTCGGTGGGGAGAAGCTCTGAATTTTCGATCTCTTTGGGAATTTTCACACATGTATAGATAGATATATGTGATATGTGTGTGTATGTATTCATATATGAGACAAATGTGGATAATTGAGATGGGTAGGTAGAGGTTATAAAAATACACGACCGAGGTGAATCATCCTAACTACTACAAATTCGAATCAGAAAATTATTTCAAGTTTATTTGATATAATTTTTATAAATTAGATTAATAAAATTCAAATTAAATATAAAGAACCAAGTGTAAATTGTTTTAAAGAAATTCCAATCCAAACAAATGATATCTTAGTGTTAAATAAAATTCAAATAATAATGATATAAACAATTTAAATCCACGAGCGGACAAAAGAAAAATAAAAGACAACGTTTAGAAATAACATTATAGTATTTATCATAATATAATGTAGGGTGCTTAGTAATATGGTTTAGAAATGTTGTTAAACTTCGTGTAAACATGAATTTTCCTTTATCAAATTTTGCAATTAAATATACGGGTGGACAAACCTTTTCATAAAGAGTTGGAGAATGTGTTTTTTCTTTAAAATTATTATAGATTATTTTAAGTATTAGAAGTAACCAAGGTTGGTTTTTGTGTGTGTGTGTGTGTGACACATGTACATGCGTGTTCTATTTGATAAAGGGAATATATAGTAAATTATTTGCCTTTGATTTATCAATTAAAATGTAACAACAAATTAGTTAGATTTATTAAATTCTAACAATTCCTTTTCTGTTTAAATAACAAAAGTGAAAATGTCTCCTAAAAGCAACCTTCCTAAATTTTGATCATTTCACATTTTGAGCATTTAATGTGAGGTTTTATTAATAGAACGATTGTCAAGCTTTGTCTTTATTAAACAAATAATAATAGCAATCCTAATTGGTACAAATGATATTATGATTATAGATAGGTATTAATATAAGAATATTTATCATGTCAAACGCATTTATAGGAAAAATGTTCAATAACTCATCAATCGATGAGTATGTTAATGTCTCGAATATCAAAAATTGAAATACAGTCTCGAATATATAGTTTTTAATAAATATTAAATATTTTTTTTAATTGAGAGCAATATCACAAGTATCGTGCAATATAACCACCTTTGGGGACCATTGGATATTGGCGCTGAGATTATAGTATAGTTCCAAAAAACCTAGAATCAAAGATATTTGAGAATTGAGGAAAGATTATCCATGGAGAAAAAGTATGTCTGCATGCCTTTACCCAAAAACAGTATGCTTGCATGATATATATATATATATATATATATATATAGTGCCATAACATTTTCACGACTGTTGGGTATTCCATGTTGAAGAAAACCCTACGATCAAAACGTAAGGTTAATTGTAAAAGTGTTTGGTGTTTAGGTCTACTCTATATGTGTATGGCGAGAAATACGGGTTTTTCTCTATCATTTTGGATAAGCTTTCATTTCTCTCGGCTTACACTTGTTGCCGATGACCAGAGTACACGAGATAAGCTCCGCAAGGCGCAGCAGTGTACGTTTTCGGGTCATGAGGAGGTGGCATCATATAGCCGTAACCGTTGTAATATTGCCCTCCATACAACGGTCCGACTCATTAGTAGGAGTCGAAGCTAGAATAGCGTAACCTAATGCGTGCAAATCAAATAAGTCTATACGGATTATATAAACATAAACCGTACGAGTTGGCCCGGCCTAACACTAACTATCAAGAGATATGGAGATTATACTCGGGAGATATCAAGAGATGTGAAGAATATCCTAAAATATTTTCATAATCTTTAGATTTGATTTGATTTCTATATTTTAGATATTTTTATCTATAAATATTATAATATTCTATGTTGAATAACGAGAAATCAAATGATCTCCATTCATTTCTCTAGTACTGACATTAGACAGTTTTCGTTTTCTGTTTGGTTCACTGAGTTAACAAGGTTACGAACCCGGTAATGAGAAAACTGAGCTGAACGTGCTGCATCTCGATGAAAGATTAACCTACTCTTAGATGTCATGTATGAGTGAGAGAGAGAAGATTGCCTGCTTATTGGCCGGGTTACGACCCCATGAAAGCCGAACTCTTTGTTTTCCAATCACCGCCCGGCCCGTTTAGTTTGTCCAAAGCCTCATCCGCACTTGTTCTGACAAAATATGTTGGCAGTTGGCCACTTATTAGTCCGGTGATTACGGTGCAAAGAAACAGAAACATGCATGTGAATACAAAAACCGTACCTGTTCACAGATTGAACGAATCCACATTCTTTGGCGACAGATCTTCATTAGTGACATCTGGGTCAAGTCCTCCCACGAATATCTAAAAAAACATGGATTACTTGAGGAAAGATTAACCTTATACAGTCACAATAATGCAAAAAAGGAGTAATTACTGTTGTGTTCGACGAATCCCTGTCAGGATGACCCTGGGCACCACTCAACATGTATCCACCTTCCAAAAATCAAACAAGGAAAAGAAGGTCAAGGTGTTCAAAGAGACGTAAGGTTACCATTGAATTCTCTTCTAAAGAGAAAAAAAATGCCTAGTACTGAATTCCAAGAAAGAAAGGCCCTCTCTCCAGCCATTCGCGGATGAGAGACAACAAAGTTTAAGACATTCTAGCTTCACCATATCATGACCCATAACATAAGTAACCACGTAATTGTATTAAAACGAAATACATAGAATGTATGCAAAGATACTGAACCAATTTGAATACCTTGCTGTTGATAAACCATTGAACGTATGGGGGACCAATTCGCATACCTCTGCTAGAACATGTATATTCATATCCTATGTTAACAGAGTGCTGAGTTTTACACATTGTAAACAGAGTTAGCGAGACTGATTACCACCCTCTCTGTTCTCAAACAGAAACCCTAAATCCGGTCGCCCCAATCAAACATTTGTTCATCCGCCAGCGAAGCGAATCAAAGAGTTGAGATAAATTCTCACCCATCCACTGATGCGAATCACCGACCCTGATCGGCTTATTGGAGCTGTTATGATGCTTGTCCCCGCGAGTCTGACAATGGCGGATGCTGATACTGACATGATCGTACAGCGGTGAGTCATATCCGCCGGAGATTCCTTCCGTTGATTATCCGCCGTCGGATTCGAATCAGACGCGTCGGATAGCACCCGCCATTACTGGATTTGCTTGAGCTTCGATTAGTTGATTCTGAGAAAATTTTCCAGTTCCTGGACTTGGATCTCGTGCTGTGGTATTTTTCACCAACGGCTACAGTTTTAGTTCGAAATTAGGGCTATGATTTTATCTGCTGAAAAAAGGGGAAAACGGGCCGTGTTAATGGGCTTTGCCCCGTTAACCCGGTTAATGGTTAACCGTTGTTAGATCGTACTGATTTAAATTTGTCTGTTTTATACTTTTGTTTTTCCTTTTTTTGAATTCTAAAATTTTAAAAGGGTAAATATATTTTTGTTCCAAAAAATGGTAAGAATTTCAGAAGTATTTTTAATATACAATATGATTTATCTTTTCTAAATTATCCCCCCCTTTTTTTTTGGAAACGTCAACGATAAACATGCGAGAAAAGCAATAGTGGTTTACCTCTTACGTATCCTAAGATTAAATACTAATTACTGTCATTGATATTTGATTTATGTAACATCTAATAAAAAAAAATTGCTAGAGTTTTGATAGACGATAGGTTAAATAACTCAGAACTAGAGTACTTTAGAAAAATAGCATTTTTATTTTATAATTGATATCAGTAGACCACGGATGTACAAAATATTTTCAAAAAACTAAATTCTAAATCATGAAACATAAAATACAGGTGGAAGAAGTGATGTTTAATTCGAACAAAAAAAATCGTCACGTAGTAGTTCATTAAATTACAACTTTTAACCCAGCCTCAATTTTGATTATATTGAAAACACTTTAATCTTGTACTCTCAATGTTGTTATAGTTTTATTGATTATTTTATTATAACATTTGTTGATATAAATATAGTAAAAAAGTTGATATAAATTATTTGTTTAATGTATGAAAAATATACTTTTAAGATTATATTACTTTCCAAGGAGAATACAACATTTTGGAGCTAATAAACAAATCGTGCTTTCTTCTTTTTCTTTCTTTTTCATGTGTATTTATTATTCTTATTATGGTCACTATTATTTATTTTGTCATATCACAGACATAATAATGTTACTGTTACAAACCCAAATTAATTTCTATCCATTATTGTTAGACCAATCAAAATTATAAAAAAAAAAATCACCCTTTCAAATCTAATTATTTATATATAAGATTTAAATTAATGCGTAAAGAGAATATGCCCAACATGTTATTAAAGCGTAAAAAAATTGTACGCTCCCTTTATTGCTATACATTATATAACATGTCTTTACGTGGAATATAAACAAAACAAAATATTTTATTGAATGTGAACATTACAGCACCTCAACCGCCAAAAATACCACAATACAAATGTGATGTTCTTAGTATTGTCTGACTAGACCGCAGAATCGATATATATATATATATCATTTATTGTTATACATTATATAGAAACATGTGTTTATCTAATAATCTCATCATGGAATTAATGTCTACCGGTCGAATGTCCAACACCTGGGCTGTTGCCGGGGGCGGTCGGCCTGAAATCGGTCGGATAAGCTTCTGCTCCTTGAAGAACGTTACGTCGTGTTTTTGAAACCGCAATGTCACCATCTCGAATCTTGTTTTTCTCGTAATCTTTCGTGTTTTTCAAATGTCTTCCTTCGGCATACAGATTATCGTACGAAACCACAAGCAACAGGAAAATAATTATCGAGAAAACAGATTTATTGGATGCCATTATAAAAATATTGAAATCTTATAGAGAACTATAATGTATAAAGAGAGTATGAAATTACAAAAGGAAAATCAAACGAAAATATATATGTGTGTGTATGTGTAAGATGGGAGATGAGAGTAAGAGGGGAACGAGGGTTTACAATATATAGAGGAAATTTTTCGAGGAAGAAATGTTTTGGAAACTAAAAATAAATGTGTGCTAAAACATATTTCAAAGAATAAAATGATTATGTCGTATGATGTCTGCGTATATAATGCAATCCTAGTGATTCATACTTCCATATGTTTTGCATGTCCCCGTGGCCCCATGCATACCAGTCTCCATTTTTCTTATAATATAACACTCATAAGAGTCAAAAACTATGTGTAAGCATGTGTGACTGTGTATATATATATATACATATATGTATATATATATTTCAAGTCCTATATGTTAAAAAAAACAAAAAAAACTAAACAATGTATATCATTTGATTCGGATATTCCAACAAAATGAAACTTGGAAAAACGTCAATATTTACATTAGATGGATCAATTCTTTTTTGTTTCTATAAGTAGTATAATGACTATATATTATAACCATGTTAGTCCATCCTTTCATAGACCATGTTAATATTTACATTTACAGTTTTTTTTTTGTAGCACACACTTTCATTCTTTAATAAAAAAAACGCTTTGAATAATATTGATATGATCTTTGATTATAGTGCAATATTTTGATTGGAGTATCCAAAGGGGGAATGGATATATATATATAGTGATGGTGGTTGGTGCCTAATTTTTCTCATGAGAAAAAACCTTGGTTTTTTATATATTCATACATGCCTCTCGACCAAAAGAATTAAGAATCTCATCAAACACCCCCACATGTTATTAGTACAATTTCCACGGCTAATTTGGCATGTCTATGTGATGTCATCATATAACATGCATCCATCACAATTTGGTTCACCATTTCCAATACCCACTAGGGAGAAATTGGCTTGGACACACGTGTGTATATGTGCGTATATGCGTATGCGTGTGTTTTTCTATGTATGTACATTATCATGTGCATGTCTAGGGGTTCCCAAGTTCGGGAGACCAAATTATTGGAACCCAATTTTCCTAATTAAAAAATCAAGTGAAATAATAGAAATGTTTTGTACGCATTTACTGGAGTGCCAACATTTTTTATATACCCATACTAGAGTAGTTTAACAAGCGAAACGGAATGCAAAGTATTTGTCTCGTTCCGAATTCGAGTTTGGGAAAAAGTATTCACCAAAACTTTCGGACTTCTAGGATTAGTTTGGGTCCCAATCCAGAATATTCAATCACAAAAAAATATTTTTGATATAAATCTAATTTATTTTTTATTAGAATGAACTCGTTTAAAGATAAGTATAAGTATTGTATTATATGTTATGTATTTTTCTATATATTTAGGGTATTCATATATTGAACGTAACTGAATATTAGAGAGCAAAAGAGAAAAAAAAACTAAATAAACATATTTTCAAATATATTATTGAAATTAACAAAACAAAACACATAGAGTTTATAATTTAACACATAAACGAACAATAATACAATTACATATAAATAATATAATTCTAATTTAGCGGTAATGATAAATTTTTTCAATAAAATCTTACTAGGTTTATTAAATGTTTCTTAAGGTGTTTTCATTATTTTTTTTAAAAATTACCTTTTTAAAAAAATAATAAACAATACCATTTGTGTCTACTGAATAAATAAAACATACATTTCACAAACAAATTATTGAATCTAAAAAATAAATAATTAAAAAATTATATTTTACTTTTTTATTATGACTAAATTTTTATTTAACCATAAAAACATTTAAAATAACAATTACATAATTTATACAATTTTATATCTTTGAATGTTCTAATCACATCATATTCTTAGATATGATAGATAATAAATAATTTTATAAAATACTATGTAAAATAACTTCGGTGGGATTATGTTAGAGTAATAAATGGAATAGTGAATTGCAATGTAACTTTTTTGACACGATAAATATTAGAAAAGTGAATATTGTTTCAAATCATTGTTTTCTCTTAGATTGTTTGAGATCTCCCATTTGTATTTTCGAATTTATAGGAACTCAAAAACTTCATGAATCTATCAATTGTGAGGTATTTATACTTTGAAGTAATTGGCATTTCATGTTATACTTTGATTGATTCGTTGTGTTCTTATTGTTCCAAATCATTGTTTTCATCTTAATTAGTTTTAGATGAGACATCCCGTTTGTATTTCCGAATTCATAGGAATCAAAAGCTTCATAAATTTGCGAATGTGTCAGTATTTATACTTTGAAGGAATTTGAATCTCATTATATATTTTGATTGACTTGTTGTGTCCTTATTATTGTAAATAATTGTTTTCGCATTAGTTTTTGAAGATATCTCTCGTTTGTATTTCCGAATTTATATGAATTCAAAATCTTCGCGAATATGCAAATTGTGTTGATATTTATACTTTGAAAGAATTTGAATTTCATGATTGAAGAAACGCGTGCGAATTTGTTGCCAAATATGAGTGCACTACATCACGCTCTCGTTTTCGAGATATGCAAAATAAGACATAACAAAAATTTTAAATATCCTAAGAATTGTTATATTATTTGCACTTATAAGGGATATTCGCTTTTAAACAATTAAAGTCTAAAGATGTTATAACGGTGACACTAAAAAAGTCATATTGTGTTGATGACTTGAGAATTTTTTATGAATCTTTCATGTTGGCTATTGTCTGCAATGTTGACTCGTTCAATCTCATTACACTGTTTTAGTCTCGAAGCCAATTGTTTTGAACAAGAAAGAGACATTATATGAAGTTTATCTTATAAATATCATGAGAAACCTGCGTATTTGAAACTCTTAGGGGGAGAAGGGGAAACTTAGACCTTATTTCAAGAGTTCTTCAAAACACCAACAATGTAAGCAACTCTTTTTACTGATTCCTTAATGGCATTGAGTTGTTGTGATATCTGCAATATTTTTAGTTTGCCCTTTTGTGCATGAGTATGTAATTTATCTTCTGTGTCTAAGTAAGGAATACGATGTCCTTGACCCTCATTGTTTCTAGAATATGATAAATTCTCATAATTTGAATTCACGCCAAGAAGAAATAGTCTTTCATTGTTTGCAAACCACGAAACGCGACCAAACCAATACAATCAATCTGGTATGGGCCCACCAAGAACAAGAAAGACGAAAACAACAAGTGTGTTATTGTTGGCTCTACTCCAAAGGAGATGTCGGACCTTAACATGTGCTCCAATTGATATAACTATTCTGGAAGTTGTATCAAGAGTTGTTAAATTATTCTCAAAATCATCTCATATTCGAGGTATATGGTTTTGGAGATATAATTTTACTAGGGAATGAAGAACAGATGAAGAAAATTCATGATTGGCGGAATGACTTTGTTAGTGTCTTTCTATCTAGTCGAGTCGGTAAGTTGTACAAATATTTGAAGTCTTGTTCCGGATGTAGACATGTTTGTAGGTTCATGACTAGAAGAATAATAGGAATGTTACATATGTATTTATTGGAATGATAAGATTTCTGATATAAATATAATTTACTATTTATTGGAATAAATCCGTTTAAAGATAAATATTGTATTATATGTTATGTATTTTACTAGTTAGGGTAGACAAATGGTTTGAATCTGTTTATTTGGTTATGATTATTTCGGATTTTGAAAATCTATAATCAAATGGTTATTTGATTTTAATCAGCTCACCAGTTAGGGTTGCTTATAGAGATAGGGTAACAAAGAAAATATTTGCGATTAGTACAGAAGTAACGAGAAAATGAAAAAACATTTTAAGATTTATGGTTCCCAAATGAGTTTATTAAATGAATAAAAAAATATTTAAACCAATTCGTGTAAAACACGAAATGGTTCTAAGTTAACTTGTGAATTTTAACTCATTATTTTTATAGATAAAAAATAAAGTAGTAATTGAATTTCAAAAGATTAATTTTATTAATCTAAATTACTATAAGATTTGACAAATATAATATTACTGTGATTTAATTTGTCATTATAACTAAATTTTCAAATTCAAATATGGTACACAAAATAGAATTTGTGGATATTAATTGAATTTAAAGTGATTGGATATCTTTGTTATGAAATAAATTCATCTAAAAATATTCGCCGGTCGGGAGTAACCAATGGGAGTTGAAGTGGACATCTGAGGAGTTCCAAATCGAACACGAACATAGTACGGAACGATGGATCACTTTCCACTATTAGTTGTTCCCCAAACACTCTCATATTTTCCCTTACCCCTACTCCCTACGCCTCCCCACATTATTATTATTATTACTATATATATATATATATATATATATATACTAAATAAAATTTTGTTTTCCTTCAAAAAATACGATTAAATATTTGAATATCATTAAGAATATACAAAACAATCAAACATATTGCAGGGAAAAAATATGATTATTGAGTAGAATGAGAGGCATATATTGTTGTTTGTAAAAAATATACATATAAATCAGAAAGCGCATTGACAAGAGCTGAAGAGTATGGCTACAATGGCCACTGGGCCGAGACAGTGGTCGGTGGTTGTGGTTTGTGATTTGATTTTCATTTGCTTTTCGTATCATTTCCGGATTCCCTTTTGGCTTTTGCTTTTTTTTTTTCAATCTTTTTTTTAAATATACTAAGAAATTGTCTTCATGTCTGTATCATACTTTGATATATTTGGGTCTTTTCTCATAAGAGATTTGACATTATAATGAGATATCCCATCATAATTTTCTTATTTATTATTAAATTTTACATCTATGCAATGACTTCTACCGGTTTTCCCCTTGGCAATTTCACTTTAATTTACAAAAATCATATCATATGCTTGTTTTCTTTCTCTCATTTTCATCATCCTACGGTAAACCAAGAATTCAATAAGATTAATCTCTCGATTCTCTAAATTTGACGTTGTATCCACTGAGAGAACATAAAAAAATTTATATCTGAAGACTAAAAACGAAAAGTAAAAAGATGAACAAACAACATTGAAACACAATATTTGCACTAGTGATATCTTTACACAAATCAATTACTAAAAACGAAATATATTTAAGTTCAGGGGATAAATGTCAATAAAACCTAATCCACCCATTTTTTTTCGTCTCCGAAATTAAATGGAATAAGGTTAGAGGAAAATGCATAATACAACTTGGAACAAAAGATTAAGACAATGCAATCAAATCAAATCAAATGGGTTAACATATATATATATATATATATATATATATATATGGGTATAATACTTTGATAATATACACAAGAGGAGCCAAGGAAGGAACTGAAGATGCTCTGTTTATGTACAAAAAAGCAGATATCAGAGCCAATGAATCAATCAATTGCCACAACAAAACATTCTAAGTCGATTTTGGCAAACAAAAATAAAAACATTATGATTTTTGCCCATTAGATGAATCTGGATTTTCTATCTTGTGAGGAGTCTAATACCGAACAGGGAGTTAATCTTGTCTACCTGATTCTTCATTAACCCGAGACGGCCCACGAGATTGCGAACGTCGAGCCCTAAGCTTACGCAAGAACTGTAATGTCTCGGTGTAAGACGGATCAGACCGGCTCAGTGGTTTACATGAATTTATGTGGTCCGTCGACTCCAAAACCTGGTTCAGAGATTCATGTAAAATGGACAAGTCAATGGTCAATAAAACGAAAATTGAACTCGATCCAACGGTAGTTTCAATTAAAGAAATGGACCGTTTCTGCAACGGGAGGGTTCAGGGTTTACAGTTTAAGGTTTAGGATTTGAAGGAGAAGGGTGAGTGAGGAGATATTTATTTGTATCGGAATTTTTTTTACCCCGAAATGTATACTTACAACAAGTTCGCCGAATCCTGGATATGCAGATTCGATTGGTACAACCTCCATCCGAAAAGCCCATCCTCCATAGCCTTCGACGATTGGGGTTACTTTCGTCTACACTTAGACAGACATAATCGTCAAAAGTTTTCCGAGAAGAAATAATTTTCGATGGGTGAAAAAGAAATAGATTTCCACAAACCTCGCAGAAACTAAGGACATCGAGAATGCCTTTCTTGTGGAGCTGCCGAACAAAGTCATTGAGCTCCACTAGTCTTGGAGAACCACTTCTTAGCTCCCCAATCTATTATCACATAAATCGTTAATTAGAAATGGGGATTAGTGTATGAAAAAAAACGATTGAATTGGTTTGTATGGAGGAATACTAACAGATGGTGCTGGACGCAACACGAGACCCATTCGCCAGGGCATGTCAGCGAGCTTGCTGCCAAAATGTGGGCAGCTGTAAAATACCTGGAATCAAGGTAAAAAACAAGTGTTGAAATTATCACGGCCGATTCAATTGACTAAAAACAATAATAAAAGCATCAGTCGGTTCAAGAAGAATGTAATAAAAAGATACTAAAAACAATAATAAATCAACGGCCGGTGTGAATCAACTTACAACTCCAACGGTGTTGTTCACCAGTTTATCGAATTTTTCTTCCTTTGCTTTGTGTAGTATCTGCTTCACGACAAGGCCTCCCATACTGTAAAAAAAAAAAGAACTTTCCCGTTAAGAATTATTGATATTCAGTGAGTCAATGCCAAGATTCTAGTTTCAACTGATAGATGGTAATCAGTACATCCATGGCCGCTGACGATTATAACAACTAGACAGAGCTAGTATTAAAGAATACCCATTGGAAGGAGCCACAACAACAGAATTCAAACCTGTGAGTCACGAAAACAACAGGACGTTCCCCAATGCCAGCGGAAACAAGCTTTTCCAATAGCATGGAGCTGACTTCCTGCAAATTGACAATATATCCCACCAGTAATTGTTATTACTCTTTAATTCATTATGGGAACTTGAACGGTTAATAATATTTATAATCAGGTATAACAAAAGAAATGCACGCCATAAGACATAACCACGTGACCAACTCTCGACAACTTTTTTGAGGTGAACCACTATACTGGTTCAACAAAACCATGACAGTGGCAAATAAAAGGAACATAACGAAGAAAACTGAAATTATATTATGCCTTAATGTTTACAAAGAACGTAAGTACAAGAAAAAGCCCTCCACAAAATTCTAATGATCTCTATCAGATCATCTAGAATGTTAAGTCTAGGAATTTAATTAGTTAATTAACACTCTGGAATGTTCTAGCAAGCCATTTGTGTGTGTTCGACAGAGGAAAGTAACAAGTATTCATGTGTTTATACTAAATTACTACAAGAGTACCCATGTGAAGAACCCAAAAGTGTATTATGGTAAAGAAAATACCTGAAGAGGCAAGCTAGCTCCAGACCATTGCGTGAGGTTTGTCTGTATCAAAATGTAAACAGTAATCTAATGTCAAATCATCAATAAACAAGCTAGGAAAAACAAGTGTGAAATATTAAGATCTACCAAGCAGCTAAAACACTCCTGTTAGGAAGGCATCGGCTTGCAATATAGTGTGAAATTTAGACATACCTTGTATTTAATGGTAAACAAGCGAGCCTGAGGGAAATCATTGGAGAGCCACTCACCGGGCCAAAATGTTCCGAGCTTCCCTGCTTCCTGATCAATCTTCTCCACCAAACCAGACTTGGTAGAGGACTTGTCCTCAGCTATGCGCCAAGTTTTGAAGGGCCCTCCACGTAATCCATGGATAAAGATAACATCAAGCATAGGCTCATGCAAATGTGAAACACTACTAGAAGAATCAGCAGAACTTGACATATCACCAGCATCAAATACTCGATCTACAACTGTATCAGAACGGCTGGTTGATTCAGCATCACTAGGAGAAGATTCAGTCGTCTGATCGTTTTGATGTACTTTTTCAGGACATCTCCAATGGGGTAGTCCAGGATTAATTAGAAATATCATGTCACCATAGCGGGGACAATTACTACTCTTGTTTGATATGTCTGTCCTCGAAATGCCATCATTTCCAGAGTCATTACCATCGTGGTGATTGCAATATATATGTAACAGAGTAGCCTTTGCATAACTCTGTATCTTAAGGTCACCGCACCCTTGAATTTTCCCATTTGCACAATCATCAAGCCATTTGCACCATGTTTGATCAGCTAAAATGGCATCCTGTACTTCTGGAAGAAGTGAAAGAATGGTTAACAATCTAGCGGCATGCCTTCGAATGTGCGCACTAGCTGGGACTCTGACACTAGATGGATCCTGTGTCTTTACAACTTCAGATTCGTGAGGACTATTTGAAGCTCGTTCTCGTGCCTCAAGGGCTCTGGACGCATCATAAGCTTCTATGGCAGCTAGCTTCTCATAATCATCACATAACAGAAAGCGTCTTAGCAAACAGAGAATGCCAAAATCAACTATTTTTCTCTGACATACAGAATCTTCTGTACAGACCTCAGTCAGTGACTTGATTGCTTTAAGAGTCGCCAATGCAGAATCAGAGGCATTAAGTTTAGGGGGACTGTCTTTCTTTAAATTCTTAAGTGGACCTGCAAAAGGCTCAAGAAGGAGCAGATCTGCCAGTGCCAAGGTATCAATAGAATCTGTGACCGTACCCAGTTGAGCCATGGCAAGACCAACAACAGAGCTTGCTAGCTGATTGTTTGACAGAGTAGCAGAAGTAACTTTTGACTGATCTACCTGGATTTGACAAAATTAAAAGCTGTTATCGTTAAAAATACAAATAGAACAGATGTCCTTCAACTAATAACCATTTCCTGACCCACAAGATTATCTCTATTCTAACAATAAAGTCATAGACAAAACTTTATACACACCTTCATCTTCTCATTGTTAGGTAGGCTAGTTCCTTTAGTTGACGATGTTTTGCAGCAATTCAAAATCTCATTCATAGTGAGAGCTAACCACGCCTGAGAAATTGGCACAGAGTGTGGCCCATAATCCTCAAGAATGCGTGAAAGTATTCTTGTAGCTGAATCGTGGATAGTATCAGATGCAACTTTTCCAAGAACCCAAGAAAGTAATATACCAGACCATTTCTGACTCTCTTCAAGACTTAAATGCATGTCACCCGAACACAATAATTCTAGAGCCTTAGCCAAACTTTCCTGTACTGTTTTGTGCTTTCTCGTTCTCCTTGCGCTATCTCTCATCAGATGAAGACCCTTCTCCATCACCATCATCCGCGCTCGCTCACTTCGGTCAACGGATACTAAAAAGGCAGACAGTGCAACTTGAGCCAATGAGATATCCTCAGTTTTACTAGCATGTGAAACTGTGGCGAGTAAACTGGAACTCCAATCAGAAACAGAATCACTTAACGGGAGATCATGATCCTCCAATAACAGTCGAGCAACCAAACTCCCATGCCATTTCACAGTCCTCTCAGGTGCCATCAGAGCTGTCATGACAACTTGCCCATCACAATCAAGTTCTTGGATATGATATCGATTGGTACCTGAGGCCATTGCCCAGTTCGCCAATGCCCATGCAGCAAATGGCACCGCAACATGCTGACAATGCAAATCATCCCACAGGCCAGGAATCACGGCAGACGACAAATTTGCCTGTGATTGTGAATTATCATGTTTGCTTATCAATGCAAAACTTTTTGAAATTTCCTCTACACCGTTAGCGTCAGGGTTACCCAATGGGGCAAGCCCGCTAGTCCTTGATAGTCCGAGAACTGTAGTTCCTTCAAGGATTTTAATTCCAATTCCCTTCATTCCACCTCTTCCATCGTCATCATCATCATCATTATCCAGCTCATCAAAAAACACACCCCCTTCCTCAACCACTTGAATGGCTGCAGCAATATCTCGCATCTCAGCATTTCCCGGCAACGATGGCTTAAAAGACATTTTTTCTATGTTGTCACAGTTGGATGTGACGACATCCATTATGGCAGCCACAAGCATACTCCTACCTTTCAAAGAATCAGAAATATCGAATGAACTACGTCTTGAATGCTGCTCCCAAAGAAAAGCTAGATATCAATGGTAAAACAAAACTCAGAAGCATCAAAACATCAAAATCAGATGTGTTTGCAAAAGCACCTCCTATGTTAATAGTAATACAAATGAAAATTCTCCAAATTGACAATTGATAAAGAATCAAAGAGACATACAATTACAACACAATTGCACTGATTATATACTATTGTTGATCTTCACCCTATCTCTACAAAAAGCTTGAATTTTGTGAACTTGCACGGCTGTACAACAGCTCTTCCACATTTAAAAATACTCAGCTTCTCGTCTAGCACCTCGAAAACAAACATAAAGCGAAGCACTCAATCCTACGAATTATCCTTTCCGACACATTCCTTGGGCCTAGATTCCTATCACACTATCATCAATCTCCTTTCAATCGGACAGAAAACATCGTTTTACCAGAACATCTATCTAATAGATACGTTAACTGCTATTTCACTATGCATGTAACGCAATCGCCTCCTAAAACATGGGAAAACAAAATCACGCACCTTCTTCGTCTTTGGTTGGCACGAGAATATGAACTTCAGCAGGTTGGGGACCGCGTGAGGCCTTCCAAGAGCGTCCTTCCGAACATTCGGGTCGGCAATAAGGTATGCCAACGCCCTCGCCGCTTCGTCCCGAACCCCAATTCTGTCTAGGGGGACAGCCACCGTCTCCAACAACCAATCAACCACCGCACCACCGCCAGCTGCGACCAGAGCCTCCCTACGAGCACCACTCGCCGACGCAATGTCCGCAAGCAGAGCCGCTACACGCAGCTCGAATCCCACACGCACCTCATGGTTCGCCGACGATAGCACCGATCTTAGCGACTGCCACAGAACCGAAGCCGCAACACCTGTTTGCTTCGCATGGTGAATCACCCTCCGAAAGGAATCGCCGGATTTCTGAATCGCATGCTCGACGGACTCGTATACGCGGTGGTTTGATCCGTAACTCTCGTCTTTGTTTTCATTGTCATTGCAAAAGACTTGAAAATTATAGACTTATTGCGTCTTTTATGTGCACAAAAGTATGTGTTTGCTTCACAAGCTTGACGGTAATATGCAGATTACAAATCTCCTCGGGCCATGTATATCGGTAAGGTGCGTTGCTTCAGCGAAGACGTAGCTCACATGCCTGAGATAAAAGACTCTGATGTTCAGAATGCTTTCAAAGATCTGATGGCGGCGGGTTGGGCAGAGCTACCTGCTGCTGTCGCACATGAAGCGAAAGGAAGAGAAAACCGCCGCGTAGGCAATCGCGGTGGAGAGAGCGGCAAAGGATAAAGCAAAAACGGTTTTCCTCGAGGAGGAAGAAGATCGAACGGCGGAGATGGAGGAGTAAAGCGATGGCGGTTGCGACGGCGGAGGCGGAGGCGGAGGAGGAGACGGAGAGAGGTGAGGGTCGTTTCGGTTCGTGAAAGGGCTCGTGGTCGAGGAGCCATTGCTCGGCGGAGGAGAAGTGGAGAAGGATCGAGGTAGTCGGCGGAGATACAGTCGCCGAGGATTGAATCGGAGACGAAGCATTTTTTTTTTTTGCTTTTTTGGTATTTTGATTTTTTTTGGATCTGCGATATGTTCGGGTTTTTATGTTTTTTTTTCTTCTTCTGGGAATTGGATATGCGAAGACGACGGAGGGAAGATTCTAATTTCTATGGGGTTGCGTGCGTGAGAAAGGGAAGTGACCCAAAAATAATATATATCAATTACTTTTTCTACATAAATACACCTAGAGTTAAAAATTATTATACAAGATTAAAATATTTAAATTATAAAAATAATAACGTAACAACGGTTATTTTTATTTTAAAAGTTCTGCTTTATCATGTATATTTCAATTCCGTTGTTATTTAGTGAAAAATATGATAACATTTTAAAAAACGTGCATATTCCTTTGCGGTTCTTGTTGGGCAAATTGGAAATGCAATGCGAAATCAGCAGAGCTGAAGCTCTAAGTGGTGGTTTACGTGTCCCAAGAATAAGGATTGAGCCAATTTGTTATATATATATATATATATATATTGTCTAAATGTATTAAAAATTTATTAAATATCATCTCATTTTTTATAAACATAATTATAGAATATTCTATATAATATATTATATAACTCGATCATTTTTAATGAGAACAGAATTCGAGTAACCTTTCATACATATTTTGTGTAAAAATATTTTAAATATTTACAAAAAAAATATTGTCTAGTTCTTTCAGAATATAGTTAATGATGGATTATATATATATATATATATAATATAGAATTCTTTTTATAGAAATAAAATTTGATTAATCTCTTTCGTTAATAGATGTATTAAAAATTTATAAAAGATCGTGCAATTCTTTGGTCTAAACAAATATTATTGTGGATGGTTATATATAAATTATTGTATAACATGTATAAATGGACATGATTCTTCTTAGACAATGTAATTATAGATTGTTATATAATAGGTAATAAAAAAATGTAAAATGGCCCAATAGTGCACCCACTGAAACCTAATTCACTTCTGAATTAATGGGCCTAAATAAGGCCCATTAGAGCCCAAACCCGAAAACGCGTCACCTTCTGTGGTCGCCATCATCCGAAACGAGAAGCAAAACAGAAGTGCAAAGTTTTGGTCCAATCGAAAATGGTGGTTCTGAGATCTCTCCGCCGCTCTGCGGCCATCGCCGTATCTGCTCTCCGATCTTCCTCCGTGAATCAGCTCTCGCACCCCCGCTTCCTGTTTTCGCGGAGCTTCTTCGCCGGCGTTTCTTCATCTCCGTCCTCTCTAATCCCTTGTGGTAATCGAAAGTCCGTTTCGCTTTGATCTGTCTCGATAAGTCAAGCTGTTTCATCACTTGAATTTTTTCATTTCTCTGGGTTGTGTGGTCGTAGATTTAGATACGTTGATCCATATGATCGGTGTAGGACTTTTAGTCTTTGTTAGATTTGGTGTTCGAGTGAACACGATTGCTGGATCGGTCTCATTTTGCGCTCCCGCCTTTACGAATTATGGAAAAGAGATGCAAAAGTTGGTTATATCTTCTAGATATTTCTCCTGAAATGAAATTTATTTGGCAACTTGGACGATTTCTGTATATGCCGATTGTAGGTAAACTTTTGCGAACATGTTTTACCGCGGCTTATTTTCTCGATATCCTTGAATTCAAGGGGATATGTATTCCCCATATATCTTATAATGGAACATAGTGATCTTTTAATGGAAAATGTTCGTATGTAGCAGGGAAAGATGAGAGTTTTTGTACTGTGATTCAGCTGCTCTCTTGGTTTGATCCGTAACTCTCGTCTTTGTTTTCATTGTCATTGCAAAAGACTTGAAAATTATAGACTTATTGCGTCTTTTATGTGCACAAAAGTATGTGTTTGCTTCACAAGCTTGACGGTAATATGCAGATTACAAATCTCCTCGGGCCATGTATATCGGTAAGGTGCGTTGCTTCAGCGAAGACGTAGCTCACATGCCTGAGATAAAAGACTCTGATGTTCAGAATGCTTTCAAAGATCTGATGGCGGCGGGTTGGGCAGAGCTACCTGCTGCTGTCGCACATGAAGCGAAAAGCGCTTTGTCCAAGAACACAGATGACGAGGCGGGACAAGAGGCCTTGAAAAATGTCTTCCGAGCAGCCGAAGCTGTGGAGGAGTTTGGGGGAATTCTCACTTCCTTAAAAATGGCAATTGACGATAGCATCGGACTAAGCGGGGAGGTAAGGTGATTGTGCGGATTTGCTACACACTGATTTCTGGGTTGGTATTTTTCATTTCGGTTTTCTTATATTCGATATTTGATGCTTGTGCAGGATGTTAAACCTTTGCCAGATGATATAGCCAAGGCGCTACGCACTGTTTATCAACGCTATACTGTCTATCTGGACTCTTTTGGACCTGATGAAATCTACTTGAAGAAAAAAGTCGAGATGGAATTGGGGACAAAGATGATCCACTTGAAGATGAGATGCAGTGGGCTTGGTTCAGAGTGGGGAAAGGTAATATAGAAAAAAAATGTGTGTATATATATATATATATATATCTTCACGAGGCTTTTGGCAAACTAAGTGCATTTCCAATTTCCATGAAGGCATCTTAGGATAAATGAAGGCGCATATCATCAAACATGACAAGCTGAACCTTGTGGTTCTGTTTTATCATGCAGGTCACCGTTCTTGGAACCTCAGGGCTATCGGGATCTTATGTGGAGCAACGAGCTTAACGAGCAAAAAAGTGATCCGAAACGAGGGCAACTTCGATCTGTTGTCTATCGTGTTTTTTTTTTTTTTTTTTTTTTGTGTGCCTGGAAGCGTAAGGTCAGTTCATTTTCCCTTCCAAGTGACCTAGAGCTTAACATTGTTTTGAAAAATAAAATCGCAGCCCTGCAACGTTCCGTCCAATTCTTGGGCTTTGGTTTCTTACCGAGAAATCATCGGAATACAAGAACCCTTTTTGGTTTTTTTTTTTTTTTTTTTTTGTGTGTGCCTGGAAGCGTAAGGTCAGTTCATTTTCCCTTCCAAGTGACCTAGAGCTTAACATTGTTTTGAAAAATAAAATCGCAGCCCTGCAACGTTCCGTCCAATTCTTGGGCTTTGGTTTCTTACCGAGAAATCATCGGAATACAAGAACCCTAAAATTCAGGTCGAGGTAATAATACATTGTCACCGTATCAAACTAAGATTATTATCGTGGAGTAAACAAAAAACAAACTCAAAATATATATGGCAGATACTGAATAATAGAACTTCGAATAAAAAAAAAAAGAGCTCAAACTAAGCAGATAAACACTGTAAAACTCTGGTCACAATCCAATAATACATAAACATGTCAGATATTATTATTCATGGCCGTTTTTAATCAAATCCAAATGAAAAACAAAAGAAAGTGATGTTTTTTATTTTTTGAATATTATTATTATTAGATAAAAGGAGAAGCAGAAACCCTGTGACGTTTCCTCCAAGACCAAGACTCGGCAGGAGACTTGGGAAGAGGCGGAAGCAACACGGCTTTCCTGGCCAACCCGAAAGGCCATCCTTCACAGTGGCAGAACTCTTGAATCACAGATCTCTCCTTGAATTCCTTCAGATACATCTTCCATGGATTCTCGAACTCCATCATCATTAAGCTCGAGCAACACGATATCTCCGTCCTTGCTGACACGTACGCCTCTTTGCTCAGTCCACTCGAGCAACACTCGGAGAAACAGCTCCCCACTGAACAAAACTCACTTCCCTCTTCTTCCTCGTCTTCTTCTTTAATGGCGTCTTGGTCAGTGGAACCAGAAGGAGCCGCCCAAGAGAAGCTCTCAACGAGGGTTTTCGGCTTATGCCTTAGTTTCTCCATTGCCCGGTTTCTGATCTCCCAAACAACAACCTGAAAACAAGAGTTTTTAACACGATCACAGAGATGGGTTTTGTGTTAAATTGTTGTTTTATTGGAAAGAATGTTGATTGGAACACAAGAGAACAGCACTTCATGCTCGTTTCCGAAATCAGAGATGGGATTATCTTCATCTTCTTCTTCTTGAACAGACAGTGAAACCTTCCTCCCTTTGCATTTGCGACACTGCATGAATGCATCTCTTAACGCTGCAGCTATGTCCTTGCACCTCCGAGGAGGCTGCACTCTTCCTTCCTCGTTACAAAGTGTCGTCATTGGCTGCGCAATTCACTTCTAATTAGTCCAATACTTGAGCAACATATATATACATACATGATACATACATATATATATATATATATATATATATATATACGCACACACACACGTTGCATTTTTTGTTCAAAGACAAAGTGATGCATAATGACATTGCAACTAACATCACTAATATTCCATTTTAGAGCATCGATTGTGATTTTCTATCTACATTTTTTGCAATACCCATAAGGGAATCTCTCGGAAATTTCATATTTTACCCACTTTTTTTTTCTGATGAGTAATCTCATGTTAGTATGATCCAAATTAAAGAGATCATAACTCTGATAATAACAAAATTTTAAAATCATAATTAATTATCAAATAAAACGCTAATTCTACAAGACAATAGCATGTAAAACTATCCCAAAATAAGAGGGTTAAATAAAAAATATTATGGATATACTATAAATAAATAAATATATCTGGTTTCGTATTTCGATCATAAGTCCTGGCTTGAAGCACAAGACATGGTGACAGAAACTGAAGACAGTACACCAAACTTTTACCCATACTTCTGTCCAAAGTGCAATTAAAAAAAAAAAAGATACATATCTAACATTAGTTTCATACGCAAAGAGCAAAACCTTATAAAATTTCAATTTTGCCTTTTAACCGCAAATAGTTATAACTTCTATGTACAATTCAACAACTTGCACTTTCGAAAATGAAAATTTTGCATATCCAAACAAAAAGAGGAGATGGAGAAAACTTACCTATAAATTATTATTTTCGTTTTTGTTTTATTTTTCTCTCTTCCCTTGAGGATTCTGGTTAGGTTTTGGCATCAAGAAAATTAAAATCTCTCTCTGCTTTTTTTTTAAAAAATTATTATTATAGATATGATCTCTCATTGACCTCTGTCTTCTTCTTCTTCTTCTTCATGCCTTGATATTATGCATCTCTCAAATCCTTTCATAGGTCTAAAAATCTACAGAGACATTATTACATATGAAATGGCCCCACAAGCAATAATGACACCAAGAAAGCAAAACTCTTTTTTTTTTTTGTGCTGTTACTTTTTAATCTTTATTACAAAGAGACCCATTAAATGCCCTTTTGGTCTCTGCCTAATAATTATGACCACAAAAATCATGTGCTATTAGGCGTATCTCACATGCATTCATTATCCTCCATGGTCTAAATTGACCTAATGGCTAATTGATTTAATGAGCATTCGTCTGCGAATATTTCCGTAAAAGAATCTAAAATAAATGAACATTCATCTGCGAATGAATATTTCTGAAAAAAATAAATAAAAATATTTTCCATTTCATATAGGGAATCATGTATAAGAACACGTTTGAAATGAAAAGTAGTGAAATACTATTTCAAAAAAAAAAAAACTTTGTAATAGTTTTTTTCTTAACTAATAATGATGTTTTTTTAGAATTGTTTGGTGTGTTCCATATTATTATGGATATCCAAAAAGCCCATCTAAAAATTCAATATTAGGACACGCCACAGAAACATGGCCTGGTACCGGGCCTTATTGTGGGCCTGTTCAGGCCCAATAAAGCTGATTTCATTTATCGGATATTCATTTTATTGGAAAGCCAACCCATGAATGCAAGCAATTGCCACAAAATTAAAACCCAACAAGTATAGTCAGGCTACAGACCACTTGACCATACAAGCGAGGATGAATCATGAAGATTAAAACTTAAACCATTTATCGACAAAAATTAACGTCCTAATTTAGAAACAAAATGCAAGTTTTAATATTTTTTTTTTTTAAAGAATGGTGAGAGAATTTTTTGTACGGAAGGTTGTAACATTTTTTAAAATTTTAATGTATATTAATTGAGTTTTTTCCTTAGAAAAAAAAATCGTATAGTTTAATGAAGAGAGTTCAAAAACATGGCCACGTCGACAATGTGAAGCTGAAAACGACGTTTATGGGATGAAATAATAAAACCATAAAAAAAAAGTTCTAAATGGAGCTCGTTGTCGAGGAGTGGAATCTGATTTAACTTAGTTTTTGACGAATTGGTTTAGAATTTGCAATTCGTATAAGCAACCAACCATTTATTGAATTGCAAGCTTAATTCTAGTTTCTAATTTTCACCACTTGCTTTCTCTATTAATCTGACTAATTTATATATGTATATATATATATATTATTGTTAATGTGTAAATCAAAGTTTTATGTTGAATTTTTTAGTCTTTATAATTTATTTATTAAATTTAGAAAAAAAATAATTGTTTGTACATTTTTTTTGGACTTCGTGTCCATGATTGAGCTATACGATTTAAATTGAATTTCTTATTTTAAATATATTTATAATACAAAATGGTGTCTTCCAGAATTTAAAATCAATAAATTTATGGAAGTTTGGGCCCAAATGATCCTAACAAATATACTAAATCTAAATCTAAATGGACAAGGATGATAATTTGATGATGGTTGATATGTCATTTTGCGAAAAAAATATAGTCGACGGACCAATATCAGATATTTTCTTAAATATACACATCATTATAGAAAGAGTGTACAAATTATAAATGTAAAGTCGTACATTTCAAGTATTAAGTGGACCAAATACACCAACGTTCGGCACCTGCTTTGTAAGAAGCAAGAGGCTGCCACGTGGCTGAAGGATCCACCAGAAACGGCGTCGTATAGTATAGACCAAAAACAAACGGATAAGAGGATGAGATCGTGAAGACGGATTATGCATTTAAACACAGTTAGGGTAATTTTCTAACATTAAACCAAAAAAAAAGTAGCTATCTTTGCCTCAATCACAGTCTCATACTTATTTTTTTTTTTCTCTCGAAAAATTCCAAGAACAAATCCACCCCCAAGATTTTTTGGATTCTTATTCTCGCTGTCATTCGATTCCATCGTCAATCACTCTGATTTATTTCGCATCCTCGGAAGATTCTAGAATCAATCACTTGCCAAAAGCTCGTTCGTGGATTTTTGTTCTCTTTTGTCTGATTTAAGGCATAGCCCTTCAATTTCGGACCCCGGTTTTGCATGGAAAATTTCCTGGGTAAGATCGCTTGTTCTTCTGTGTTTTTTCTTCGAGGTCTCTGTGTTTCTGTGGTCCGAAGATTTTTTTATTGAAAGTATTGTCCGAAGGTTTCGCTTGGATGATGTCTCGATCCTGTTCTATTTTGTCTTCGTTGGTCTCCTGTTAAGAATTTGATCAATTTGAATATTTCTTTTTTCGTAATTGACAGAACCTTGTTTCCACGTTCAGTTGATCTTCAATGCTTCGCATTTCTACGATACCCAGATAGCAAAAATAGTCTCTTTTTTTTTTCTTTTGTATCTGTGGAAATTCTCCAATTCTGTTCATGTTGTGGAAACAAATGAGCAGCTGAATATGATAATCTAATGTTTAATTTTGTTCATCTTGCTCTGAAACAGTTTTTCCGTTCGATTTCGGACAGGAGTTTTGCATCTTTTCCTCTGCGAGTTCTGTAAGTAATCCGCAGCTTGAGTGGGGAATTTGAGTTTCTTGAACAATGGAGGAACCTTCTGAAGCGCCCTACAATGGCAGAACCGCTGATTCTAGACTTCAGATTGTTAAGTATTCCCCTTATAACCCCTGTGATAGGTTTTCACTGCCATGGCTTGATTTGAGATTGTTCTATGTGAGGATAAGCAATTTCTTGGTAGATGAATCTGCTACGCCTACGGTTCTCACTCTCAACCATGTTCCTCTAAGTCCAGACACCCTTTTGGAAATCAATGGCGTTAGATGTAACATTTACTCTGAAGGAGTGTCTTCTGTTCTTAGGAGAGATCGGGCCGATAAGAAGTCTGAGGAGGCCACCTTCGTTGCAACCGATAGTATCAGATTGAGTGGCGATGCGAGGTTTGAGGTTTATGATAAAGGGGATTTGATCTTGTCTGGAGCTTTGGAAATATGTAGTGGCAATGGATCTGAGAGTAATGCCAAGAATTGGAGTATGAGCTGCGAAACGGAGATTAGGGCTGGGAGCGGTTTCTTGAAGAGAAAACAGATTATGGGTCCTGAATCATTGTTACCGACAATCGAGGTTTATGTCGCTGGATGTTTCTCGGGAAAGCCAGTTATCTTAACTAAGACTATGCAGCTTGGTTTCAAGAAGAAACAGGGTAAGAAGGGCACTCTTGACGCAATCCCGGAGAATGATATCGGTGAGACGGAGAAAATCCGGTCAGCTGGGGTCGATCTACAGGTGCGTTTCTGACTTAAAAACTAAAAATTGAAGTTTTCGTTTCAATTCTTGTACTAAGTAGCACATTTCAAGTTTATTTTAATTCTTTTACATGTTTCATGAGTTCGACATCTTGCATCATGTGTTCAATCCTTACATGTCCGTCTTAGAGGATGATATGGAAGATGGTAAGCTAAAGCTTGGTAGAATTGACTTGTGAAGTAGGAAAGACAAAGTTCTTAAGCATCCGAAACTTGGGATGATACTCAATTGCCCTTTTCTCGCCATTCCGCAATTCTTTTGCCTTGTTTCAAAAGAGATCTATCAGACATTATCCTCAGCCTGTTGGATTTGAGACATTTTGTGGGTTGTGTTGTTCAAGTTCTCTTGCTTTCCTGATTGAAGTCCAAATCTTGAATTCTCCGCCACAAATGTCAATATCTGCCTAAACAAGGATAGATCGAAACGAATTTGGTGACTTGTACGGAGAAATGGTAAATGCCCATGTGAGGTTTGATTGAGACAAGAAGAAACTTATGCGAGGTATTCACATGGCTAAGTTCTTTGTCCCCACACCTTACATGTTGTGCCCATTTCATTTATTACATTCAAAATGTAGTTCTTGAAAGCATTTAACACAAACCCGTATGATACTGTGTTCTGTTTACCTGTTCTTGTGTCTTAGAATCTCAAACTTTAATCGATTTCTGATGTAGAAAGAGCAAATGAGTCCTTGTTTATTTGCGAGTGTTGATGTCTACTTTCGTTTTTCTTTGTTCGATCTTCAATGGCAGATGGAAGAGTACGGTGATCGAAAACAAGAATACGAAGGAGAATACGGGAACATGGAGTGGAGGAGGATGCAATACATGGAAGGTGAGGACGGTGAGATGTCATGGTTCAATGCCGGCGTGAGAGTTGGAGTTGGAATAGGGCTTGGCATTTGCGTTGGTGTGGGTATTGGAGTCGGTCTCTTGGTTCGTACGTACAAATCCACCACTCGAAGTTTCAGAAGACGCCTTCTCTGAGCAGTTTTTGTTGTTAATCCACCATTATAATACTATACACTATAGATACATGTGTGTGTGTGTGTGTATAGGCAGGGATATCATATGGGTTTCACATTTTGTATTGTTTACTTGATCTAAGTTTGTCATACTCTGTGGTTGTGGAATCCAGGAATTGTTGTTTCAGATGGTGACAATCTGAACCAAACCTAAGTGTGTCCGATGCACTATATAGGTGTGTGTGGATATATGGGAATTTTTCAATATAGTTGTGTATGATTAATATTAATAATATCCGTTGTCGTCCAGCGGTTAGGATATCTGGCTTTCACCCAGGAGACCCGGGTTCGATTCCCGGCAACGGAATTTCTTTTTCCCATTATCTTGGATCAAGACGCTGTCGTTTTGAAGCTTTCTTAATCGTTGATCTAAACGGCGTTTTTGTGACTTTTTCCTATGCGATCTAAAAATGTTTTAAGAAATCGCTTTTTCTGAATCCTTATAGCCATGATTAAGGAAGTGCCTCCTCTTACCTCTCAAATTCCTTGGTTCTGTGTTGTTTTTGTCACTCGAGGGAGAAAAAAAATGAAATAGTGATATCGTTGTCACGTGTTCGAATCCTGAAAACAGTCTCTTGTAGAATATATTACGAGATATTATCCAATCTCGGATCCTTTTTTAGTGGGCATCCGAATATTATATATCCAATATAATTTCTGGATATACCCGAACTTGAATAAAAGTGCAAAGTTTACGAAATTTTCAAAATATATATCATATTCAAGAGTTGATTCGTTATGAGTGCCGAAAAATTTTGGGTCTTCGAATCCAAAACGAAATTTCAATTGATTTCGGTAGGTTTGTAATATCCCTCACTTCTAGGGGCAAAAATGTCATTTAATTGTTCATTCCTGGAAAGGGGTCTTCGCCCCTTTTTTTTTTTTTTTTTTTAAAGATTTGCATCTAACCTCAAGTCGATTTTTTAAATCCATTTTTACAAAAATAGAATAGAGTAAAATCATAAAATTATAATATTAATACTCTTATAAGATTGATCTCACATAAAATCTGAAAATCGAGATTGCAGGCTGATTAGTGGAAGCAGCATGTGAGATTCGGGGCATAGGAGACCCTTCTTGCCCCCTAATGGAATTTGATAATGTAATGCAATAATATGCTTCATGCGATGTTTGCAATGAGGTATGAGACACATATATCATCAAAATAAATAAACAAATATGGTTATGGAAAGATGTCAATTTATTTGAACGCATATAAATTATAAATACAAAATCAATTGAGAAATCATCCCCTCTTTTATTCGTCGTTGCATGTCCCGTCGTGGAATCAAATCGTTTTTGGGGCGAGTTGTTTAAGTTTTTTGGATCCATCTAAAAATATAGACGAGCCAGTCAAGTCCGTTACGAGTCAGCTCATAAGTTTTTTTTTTTTATTTTATTTAATATTATACCATGAATTATTTTAATTTCATAATGTTCTAATGTAGTTGGACAATAGTTCTATAAAAACTGTTCTTTCAAAATTAGATCGGATTTCGGCATCCGAAATTTTTATGAAATTTGAAAAAAAAAATATTCTATACATTTTTATGCGTATATGTTTAAGCACATTAGATGGTAACGCAACTCGAAATATTTTTTACACATCTATATATTCTTTTACATATATACATACACATATATATATATATATATTATTTTTCTAATTAGATGAAAATATGTAGAGGGGAAGCTTGGTTCAACTTGATAATGTAATAGATATATATTATATTTATTAATTATAATTATAAAATACATTTTGATTCCCCCTTGCAGTTTCGTGAGTTATAATCAATAGGTCTTTTCGTGTTGACTTGGTCAAAGTCACATTATTAAATTTCTAGTTTTTTTTTTTCGTGACCACTCTATGATTGGATTCGGATGGATATTGTCCATTAAATCATTTGTATGCTTTATGTGATGTGGAACTTTAATACCCATATTTAATTGATATCTATTTTAATTAAAATAAACATATTTTGAATTTAAATTTTGGAAAATAATTCGAAGCTTGGCCAACTGAACCAATAGAGTCCACGTAAAATGTAAAAAAACAAAATTTACAGTATGGATAATTCATGACACAATTAGCTAGTTTAAATTAGCAATGGTACGACATAATTAAAATTCTGTCACTATTACATTAATTAATTAGTTAATTATCTCGCCTACGTTCCCTATAAAAGATTCTAAGTGCCATAAAAGATCCAAACACATTCATACAAAATATCATTTTCAGTACTGTGAGACTGAACTCACATGTTTTGAGGAGATGGGGAGAGAGATTCATTCCAAAGCTATTTATTTCTATTTAATATATTTTTGTTTTTATCAAATCGCAAAATATTATTGTTTTAATAATTTATTACAAAGAATAATTTAAAAGTTATGTTATTTTTAAAGTAAAACTAAATAGGACGGTGGAATTAGAGTAAGATGGTTAACAATCCAAAGACCAACATTACAACATTTTCACATTGCGAAGATTTTATTTTCATTGTACTATCTGTTAGCCTATCAGTGCTTTACGACGATTTATATAATTAATTAATGATGCTTAATGGAAATGTCCGGTTTTAAGCTATTTCACTGTTTGCTTTCGTTCATTCGTTCGAACTAATTAACATATATTTTTGCCTCTTTTCGTCAATCGGTAGATATATGAAATTCAATTAACGCAAATAAGACATTTTTTGGCATTAACTAGTGAAAAATCAGATGAAAAGCATAATCTAGAGGAAATAAGAATGGACATAAAAGAGAGAGATGTTTGAAATCTCCTTTATTTCAACACCAAATTTCCACCCATATGATTTAGGGTGCAGCGTCAAGGGTCCGAACCGGAAGCCAGAAATTTTATTATTTATGGTCGAATACCAAATTTTAAGCTATCCCACGGAATATCGAATCTCGGGGTTATCGATATGAATTTTTGTGGAATAAAATTAAGTGATAAAATTCAGATCGTAAAATTGTTTTTATATATATAAATTATGAATGTTTTGTCATAAATCCAAATATATATATATATATATATATATATATATACTGTTATTTGATTTGGAAAGAACGTTTTCATTCAGTGGTTTAGTGTTGTGTCATTTGGGTTATATATGTCATTTAGGAAGTTATATGGTCATGGGCGAAACATTTTGTTATTTTTGGGTGTGAATTGTGAAATGCAGTTTGTCCTCTTGTCAAGGCGTAGACGTGTACATGAAACATATTATGACATGGGCGGTTGTTATACAAATGACGGTAGATCCACAAGCTATTTATTCTTTCGATATTGAACCCAAACTTTTAATTTTGAAGGATTTTGTCCTAATTACCTCATTCCCATCATGACATGGGTGGTTGCTATACATAGACAAATTTATTGCATAAAATGCATAATGTTTTCGTGTGAGATAATGGGAACTTGCATGTTTGTTGTAACTGTGAAATTTTAACAATATATATTATAATTTTGAAGAAAAATCAAAATATAGATTAGAGTTAAATAATAACAAAACAAATAAAATATATAATCCATGTGGTCATATAACTCTTTTTTTTAACCAGAAACGCTGATTTTCACTTAAAAATTTAACCAAAATAGCTAATTTTATTTAATAAAAAACAGATCTCATCTCAATTCCATTTGGTAAAATAGTGTGGTTGAGACTTGAGAGTTTGAAAATCAAATGTTCAAGATATTGTATATTTTGCAAGAATTGTAGCAATTGTTTTGTGCGAACTGATTTTTAGGTTATTCGCGATATATATATATATATATCCCAAATTACTCGAATATCAACTTTTTTGGGATAAATTCAAGATAATTAGATCGTCGGATTTAGAGTTTTGGGTTATTTTACCATAATATAGAGTCGTATAATAAATAGTGTGCAGTATCATTTGGACATGGTGTAGTAGTTAAAAGACCCATAATTCTCTAAGAGGTCATGAGTTCGATTCCAGTTTAAAGTTAGTCTATCATCTTTTGGGTGATTTACTTGTTTCACGTGGTTTGCAGACTATTACGTGGAACCAAATGGTTTATCACCTTGATCCCTTGATCCGCCGAACGGAGTTTGTGCCGTTATATAAAAAAAAAAATCGTGTGCTCTTTCCACCGAGAAATCTTTGACGCATGCAGCATCTTTTATTGACCCTTAATATTTTTTCCGAATTGATTACATCAAATAAACCGAATGTCATCAACCTACGAAGATTCGGAAACAAAAAAGAAACTATAAAAGTGACGTCGATTGCAACAAATATGTATCCTTTCTCTCTTAATTATTAATGAATCATACAATAAAAAACACTACATGCACACCTTAACTCCTTTCTATACACTATAAAATATAAATATATATAATCCTTTTTACTCTGCGATAATTCTCCCACCAAGTGACACAGACAAATTTTTTTCAAAAAAACAGTAGAGTAATTTCCAGAATCCTTAATTATTAACCTTATTATTATCATCACGATCAGGGGCATTGGAGTTCTTACAATGAGCAATGGCGGCTTGAATGGCGGCCTGCAACTCCTCCATCGTACTGTCGCTCGAAGACGAACAAGAATTGGAAGAGCTCGTCGTCGAAATCCCTCGAAGATGTCCACTGTTCGTCGGCGAAGTCCTCATCGAAGCCGGAGCCGAAAACTCACCTATTCTCCTTCTTCCTCTCAAATCTTTTCTCCTGCCGCCATTGATATTGTATCCACTGTTGTCGTTTTTTGTTCTTGAATTCGTCATCACGGCGCTTGCGGATGAGAATGAATACGCTTGCCTCCTCCTCATCATGAACTGCGTGCGGTTTTCTCGCCTATGGAACAACATTCTTATGTACTTCTTTAGAGCGTGGCTCAAGTCTAAGCTCACAAGCTTCATCTTCTTCTTCTTCTGCTGCTTCGTTTTGTTTTCCTCTCCTTCTTGTTCGTCATCTCGATCCTTATCTTCGAACCCTTTTCTCCATTTTGATAGATTGAATAGTGAAAAAGATCTAATGGGTTTGTTCTTTCCTCGATTCGTGCCGTGTCGATTCGTGCCTTCGAAAACGCCTGTTTTGTGGCCGTTTTCGATGATGTTGCTCGTGCTCTTTGTTATTAAACTACTGCTTCCGCTGCTGTTGTTGTTGTCCGTTGTTATCGTGTCGTGACTTAGAGTGGGCTTGTCGTGTAATATGTCTTTGACAGGGAGGGCAAAACCGTCCAATGAGCCTGTCGAAGTCCGGGGAGAGATGGGGATGTGAGAGAGGAGATGGAGAGGAAGGAGATGGCCGTGGAAGAAGATGTCGTCGGCCGGAGACAAGTCGACGGCGAAAGGGTCCGTGGACGACGTCGTTTTGGAGGTGGTTCTGAGATGATTAGGGTTCGGTTTCGAGCATGAAGAAGGGAGAGGTTGGAGAGAGATGGCGAAAGAGAACTCATGAGAAGGAGACGAAGAAGTCGACGATGGTGAAGCTTCTTGTTTAGGGTTTTTCTTTCCGGTAGGAGTTTGAGTATTGATGGTTCTGCTCTTTTCCTGGGTATGGGTTTCCATGGTGATTGAATAAAGAGGATAAGAAAAAAAAGGGTTTTGTGATGATCAAAGGATATGACGATTTAATAATAATAATAATAATAATAATAATAATAATAATAATAATAATATCATCGTCGTTATTATTATCTTTGAAATATTTGAACGTGTGTATATGGGTTGTTTTCGGTTTTCTGTAAAGTTTTGAATATGACAAATCTTATTGAGGAGAAGATAAGGAAGACGTGGAGAGAGACGAGGGGAGAGAGAGAGAGAGAGAGAGAGAGAGAGAGAGAGAGAGAGAGAGAGAGAGGTTTAATAGATAACATTATATATCATCGAAATACATCACGGTTACTTCACACATTCGATTCATGCATATGTATAACACACACACATATATAAGCACCATATCATTTTTAATCTTTTGTTATTGGAGATTTCGATAAACGTAATCAATCTAAATCATAGACATTTTCAATCGTTGATTCATTGCAAAATAAAATTTAATTCAGTGTATTAGACTTTAGAATTACTCCGTCTATTTCAATATAATTGTTGTTTTAGGTTTTTTACAGTTTTTAAGATTTTTTTAAAAAAATCATATATACCTTTATTAAATCATATTCATATTATTAAAGTTTGATATTTTTAATTAAAGATAAAATTGAAAGTTTTTATTAAAAATTACCTAGAAAATATAAGATGACAACTATTTAGAAACAACAAATAATCTCTAAAATCACAAAAATTTTGAGACGTACTGTCTAATTCTTTTTTTTTTGTTATTTGAACTGTTTTATCTAATAGTTAGACAATAATTAGAACAATATAAAATAACTGTAATTAATTGTAATCTAAGTGTCGCTTACGACTTAATGCAAAATCGAAGTTTAAAAAAAAAAAAACAAAGTGGGACTGTGGGGCCAGAAAAAAAATTCTATAAACAGCTGGATAGGTTTGGAGTCATTTGATTGGGGAAATAAATTTTTTTTAAAAAAGGAAGAAAAATATATCAAAAAGACAAATGAGAAACGTTGTCTTTTGGACACACGTGGTTTTATTATTATTTTTTAAATCCAAAAAAGACAAATGAGAGGCGTTTTTACCCAATCTATTACCCCGAAAAAGATATGTTACTTTTTTTTTTTGGTCATACAAAGTTACAAACTATACTACTTGCATATCGAACGAAAAGGGAACGCATGTCCATAGGCGTTGATTTATATATAAACTGTCTGTCACATAATATATATAGAAAAATTATATTATGGAATTTACATATACTCTTTTTTGGTAAAGGTGGAATTTACATATTCGAAAAGCTATAATACTCAAAGAAAATAAAAAAAGATTTCCTTTTAATTCTATTTTTATTTTTTATTTTTTCATGTATTAAAATATCTAAAATCAAATTTTATTCAAATGTTTAAAACTTATCCAAAAAATTATCCGAGGAAACTGAACGATACAATCCAGCTCCTTTCAAGGCAGAGATTGCATCCCTTGCCTACATTAGCTCTTTTATTTTTCAATTAATTTAAATACGATTATATATTATTATTATTCGATATAATTCAGTATATATTATAATATTGATTCATAATAAACCGGTCGATTTGAATGGTCCACACAGTTTGGGTTTGGGGAGGTGTCCACACAGTCGCACACGTGGACGAAGTGGTCCTTCCACTTTTTTTGTTTGCTCAGTTTAGTTTGTCTCTTTTCAATCATGGGTTCATTATTCAGCTCGAGAAAAAAAATGTACAATCATTTTATTTAATTTAAATTCGGAATTTCTCTATAAATATCTAATCAACTTTGCTGTACAATGAAACATTCTAAAAACCCGTAAATATTTATGACGCGGACCATAGCTTTACTATCAGTCATTTAATATTTTTATTTAAAATTTTATAAAAAATATTTTTTTAAAATTAAGCAAATGGGGCATGGGACCCCATACATTTACAAATGAGTCCGCCCTGTTCTAAAATCTGTTAAAAAAACGGTACACATGTTAACTTTTCTAGTTATAGTGAGAGCCAAAAAATATGCATAATTAATTTTACATTTTAAATTCGAAATATATATATAGATAGTTTTGGATCAAAAAGAATAATTAAGACGAAAATTGAGTTAAGTGCAGCCATTGTGATCAAATTTGGATAATTCAACCGATAAAATTAGGACGAATTCGAACTTTCAATTTGGAAAAGAGATATATATTCCAAATCATATTACTAATTTTCGATCCGATATTGATCTCTCGGTGCATTACACTCGATTACAAAAAAAAAAAACTGACAGGTTGTAAGTTTGTTTTGCTTTGGGTAGCTGAAGAAATTCTTCAATGACATTCTCCGTTGTACTCAGGCTGGAGGCATTGGCAAATTCTCAGAGGAATTGGGAAAAGTTCAATCACTGCCTTAAGAGGGATTTCTTCAGTTGGATCAACTGCCTAAGAGATTTTTGAACTGCACCACCAGAAAGGGGAAATACTATCAGATGCCATTGTGAGCATAATCAATTGCAGAAGAGAAAGTTAGAAACCACTAAAAACAATCGGATAACTCTACTCTTTGTGCAGAAGCCAACCAAAAAGAGATAAACTATGCATTAGCTCTGTCCAATTTTAGACAAAAACATCGTCCACAAGACAGCAGAGATACCAAACACTTCAACTACCGAAAAGAACTCAGCTACTTGTTGCCTTTCTAGAATAAACAAGAACTCAGCTACGACCAATTTCCAAAACTGTTTCCAATGTTTCCATGCATTGCAAAGGATGGCAGATGATATGCACAGCTGACCCGATATGAAAATATCCATAGACCCACAAACTAAGGGTTGTATCAATATGTGGTTCTGATGTAAATTTAAACAGCTAAAAAGTCCTAAACTCAGAACATAAGAAGAACTCACCTCGTTGTTTGTCACATGACCTCCATGACCGAAAGCAACCTCCACGTTACAGCTCATCGAGAAAGAAGAACCAAAAAACTTTTCTCCAATCTCCCGTCCGATAACATATCAACAACCATTTCCACGGTTGAAACATCTGATGAAAAACCGCAGCTTCTCATTTCCCGAATAAGCTCGATAACAGTTGCAACATGGCCACCTTTGAGATGACCTCGGATCA